CTTTTTTTTATTTTGCTGGCCTCTACTTAGCCACCTAAGTAAGATGCTTTTATATAAAATTTTCATGTAATAATGTTGGAGTTTGTTTCATGCTTTAGCCCTTGTAGTTTTGCTAAGATTTTGCGCAGTTTTTGGTTTACTACAGCTATTTTGAATGGTTTATACTGCTTTGAATGTTGTGAGCTAAGATGAATAACTTAGAATTTCATTTTTCACCTAATTGATCTTTCAATCGATCGTTTAGGTGTTAAAGGAGTTTACTCTTCAAAAACAATTGAGGGTGCAGCGCAATTTTTGCATCATTATTCAAGTTACCTGGATTCAAGGTATGCATTATTTGTCTGATGAATTTTGTTTACATAGTAGAATGCAACTTGTTGAAAACTACAAACTGAGTTGACTTTGCAAGAAAGCTCTATGTATGTTTATTCTTTTTTCATTCTCAGTAATGTTGTCAGTTACATGCATTTAGTGGGGAATAGGCTCTGAAGAGAAGTTGTGTCAAAACTATAAAAACTCCTTATTGCAGCTTTTTAAATATTCATTCTTCTTTCTGCCTCCTCTTTCTTAGTAGTTTTAATTTCTGTCTGGTCGAATTCACGTCCTTTTTGTATACTGTAAATAATTGATTGGGTTGAAATTGGTAAAAGTTTTAGATGATTTAGATGACTTAGCTCCTTACTGAAACTGATTAGACTTTCCAGTGATGAGTTGGTTACCTTAGAATTCATTAATTTTTATCCTTTAACAAGTTATTTCCCTTTTCAATCAAGCTTAGGGCTTCAATGAGTCTACATCTTCTCTTGTAAATACTCTATGACGATGTTTGTTAGTGAACTGCCATGGCTTCACATGCATACCTATGATTGCATGTATGCGCAAATGTAGAAAAGTAGAAACTTCTAAAATGATAGATTGGAGAATTACTGTTATGTTGGGAAGGTTTGATGATCATATTTTTTAACAAGTTATTTCCCTTCAAGCTTTGGGCTTCAATGAATCTACATTTTCTCTGTGTGAATAAGCTTTATAACAATGTTTGTTAGTGGGGCACCAAAACTGCATGTGTGTACCCGTCATCGCAGGTATACACGAATAAAAGAGAAAGTACTTAACCTTTAGAGCATGTAGAAATGTCTGAACTGAGAGATGCAACAATTACTGTTCTGTCGGGAAGTTTTTGATTATCATATGTTATCGTTACAGGGAAAGGATTGACTTTTTAAGTAGCTTAGTATCCCTCGCTAAAAGGAAGTCTTTCAGTAGAGCTGGATTGATGGGTCTTGCAGAATGTATTGCTGCATCTGCTTTGGGGGCTTGCAAATACAGTGACAATAAAGTGAAGTTTTCCAAAGATGGTTTTGTTGATAAAGTCCAACAGGAAAATTCTTTGCAGAACTTTCTGCATGATGATGGGACAGAGTTGCTGGATGTTTTCAGATATGTTCTTGAGAGCAGCAAGCAACATTTCAATCCTAATTACCGTTTTCGAGGTTTCTAATTACCACTCTGATTAGATTTTGATAAATTTATTAGAGTTGCATATGTACTGTGCAACCATTGAATGCTATAACAGAATCCTTGTGACACCTTCTTCTATAATTGTCAGTCTGTGAAAAAGTAGTGGAGGCTGCTGCTTTATTGGTGCCTGCAAGTGATGTTCCTCTTGAGATACTTTTGCACTTTATTTCAACATTGCCACGGGAATTTACTGATCATGGTGGTAGGAAAAACATTATGGCTTTTTTTATAGACTCTGCTATTTGCTTGCCTCTTCATTTGGTTCCTTATGCCTATCTCTTCTTGTTGCTGGTGCATTTCTCCTTTATGACATTTATGAATTACCATGCATGAATTAGGTATGCTTTTTGTTTGCCTTTGTTTCTCAAATTTGTTTATTTTAGATCATTGGGTAAGATTAAGTTGAGTCGATTGAATTTTATATGGTAAAAGGAGCTGAAAGCTCCATTTAGTTATTGAACTTTGTAAATACCCGCTTAGTTTGTGGCTTTCACTAACCTGACTTCGAATATGCTATTTCTCCATTGGAGTTGAGAGGTTGGAGGTTGCAAGTGTACTACTTTCTCAAGGTCTTTATTTAGGAAATGGCTCTTGCATTATTAAGTGAACACTTTTGGTGTTGTGTAGCAAGCTTTTAGTATGGAGACAACTGAGTTCAGCAGACTTTTAGGTCTGATGGGGACACTTTTGGTTCAGTTTTGTGAAAAGGCATCAGAGGTGGATGAGATTCATTCTCAAAATTTCTTATTTTGGCATGATAGCTGATGGGGGAGGAGATGCTTAAAATATTCTGAGTCAGAGTTATCCCTGAACTATTGAATTTAGGTGAAAATTTTATTGCTCATATTACTTGTTAACTTATGATCTGGATGCTGCCTCATTTCTTATACATTTGTATGAATCTTTCTCAATCCCTCATTCTATGAATCAATTTTGTGATTTACATTTGCTTCTCTGCTGTCTTCAAGGAGGAGCTTTTGTACATGAGTAACACCTCTCCATCTCGTCAGGTTCTCTACGTGTAAGAGTACAAGACTGGCTTTTGCAGAATCATTACACTCCTCATTGTGATGGTACCTGGATGCAGCTTTTGGATACTCTCTATGGCTTTCCAAAAAGGTTCATTACTCATAATTATCTGGTTGAAAATTTTAATGATGAAGACTTGGATGCATGGGATCTTGAAGTGAGAAGATGGGCAAGAGTACTCTTTCTTGTAATCAAGGAAGAACATCAATTAGTACCTTTACTGATGGTTTGCCTTCAACTCTTCCTTTATATGCTCAATTTTTTTGTTTAACTTTATATTCTTCTTTCTTTGTTGATTGGTATAAATTTTAATTTGTAGAATGCACCTGGAAAGAAATTTAAATCATATTATTGGTAATACTTGTTCATATCAAAGTTTTACATGCAAGCACAAATACTCATGTACTCTAATATGAAATGCCATTTATTGAATGTAATATGAATATTCTGAAAAAAAAAAGGTCTAATTGTCTTGTTTAATAATCTTTACCCCTTCATCTTTGCCCTTCCTTGGTTCTCTGTTTTCATATATGTTATCCTGTTAAGATGTTGTTATTCTCTTTCATAATGTCTATGCATTGTTGACCATCTGAAATCTTAGTTGCTGCATTTTGTCAGTTGAAGAGCTTCATATGCTTTAATCTTGCCACGCAAAATGTTCTGCAGGTTGACTGCATGAAAAATTGTTTGCGTGGATATCTATTTTGTTTTAAGTTTATGTGTAGCTGCTTGCATTCCTTTTCAAATATTATTTTCTCATTTTGCCTACAAGGAGTCCAACATTTTGTTTATGTTTGTTTGTGCAGTTTATTCAAAATCATGGAACAAATATCTGTAAACAGAAAAACCATTCAGAGTGGATACCTGTGAAGTTTCTCACACTTATCCTGGGCTTGATTCAAGAGATCCAGGTGATGCAGAGCAGAGTTGCTAAACTTGGTGTAAGAATTCAAATCAAATCTGAAATGGGCCTGCTGGAGACAGAGGAGCGACCAAATAATGTAGAAGCTTCAATAGTTTACAAGATGTTCACTGGCCCTTTACTTTTTATATTGGTATTTTTGGATTCTTAAGCTATTTTATCAAATGATGAGAATTGCATATAACTTGTTATGAGAGAGCTGTACATAGGTATTTTGTCTGGCATGCAGGAGGAACTTGTGTCCTTTGCCAACTTGTCTTGTTCCATATTCTTGTCCAGTTCTGAGATTGACGACAAGGTTCTGCCTAGTTCTGTGAGAGGAAAACTTGGAGGTCCTAGTCAGCGACGATTATCAAATTCTTTGACAACTGCTGTGTTACAAGCTGTACGATATCATTCTGTTCTTTCTTAGTTTCATTAGTTGATTTCTTCTTTAGAACTATTTTAGTAACTTGTGTTTTCATGCTCATTAATATGCCTCACCCCTTTGCACTCCAAAAATACTACTTGAATATTCATTAATGCATACTTCTTAGACTTTTCATACAACCCTGTCACAATGATTGCATCTTTAGGTGCTCACTAGTTGCTGCCTCTCTCTATTTTTCATTTATAAACATTTTCTTCTATTGTTGTCATGTATTCTTATTTCTTTTATTGAAGGAGAAGGCCTAACTTGTCTTAATTTCATATTTATGAACAGATAATGTCTGTTAAAGCTGTTGCACGTATATCTGCCTGGTGTGCACAACTTAGATGTGGCATTCTGTTAAATTCTGCCTTTACTTTTGTTTGGAAATTCTTCTGTAACACTATTGCTTCTCTGACTTGTAACTCTGAGGTAAGTTTTTGGGCATTTTATTGCAAAATATTTCCACCTTTTTGTTTGACATCTTATTTTCTCTTTTAACAATTTGTGATAACTTACTGCTGATTGATATGATTAACTCAAATCAGACTGGAGCTGAAGTTTGTCTTGCTGCATATGAAGCATTAGCTCCTGCTCTGAAAGCACTTTTCTCTACGTTCTCTCCTCAAACTTTGGACCTTTTCAGGGAAAATTGCAAGTCATTAGTACCTGCAGTAGAAGGTGAACCTTGGTTAGGTTCGGTAGTTCTTTCTTTTCTTCAGAATATCAATGATCTTCTCGCCGTCGGATTCATGGCACGCACTAGGCGGGCAGTTTTGCTTAATTGGAAGGTGATGCTTGTTTGATTTAACTATAGTCTCCCCTATTCTTTTCTTTTAGTTTGGCATTTGAACTAATTCACTGTCATAATGTTGTTTCTGATGGAATCCAGAAATTAGATGACATACATTATAACTTAAAATTTTTGTGTGTATCTATAATATTTTTCTAATTCATATTCTTTTTTTCCCTTTTAATGTTTCCTTAAACATAAAAAGGTAATTGCATGAAAATTTAATGATGAAATTGATAAAAGAAATTTGCTTCTTAATGCAATTACTTTTCATATCTTAATGGAGAGTTCAAATTGCATTAGTATGAAGTTTTGAATTCTGATGTGAGCCAATTAATAAGTTCCAGTTCAGATGAATTTTGAAGTTCTCCACAATTAATCATCCTTGCTTACGAATAATGTAGTACTCTATGGTTTACTATTGTCACCATAACAAAATTATGACTAAAAAAATTTGCAGTACTTTAAGATTTTTGTTTAAAATTTTATTTGTCTATGAATGAATTATTCAATTTTTTTTTCCACTCTGAAACTTTCTAGAAGATAAAAATTTCTAATCAAAATATTATTGGGAAATAAGTTTGGTAAAATTTTTCTTTCTAAAAGACTACAAACTTGGTGATTTTAAGGTTTTGAGAGATAAAATTTGCAACTCACATATAAAGGTTTCTTACAATGAGTTTTTTTTTATATAAAATTTTTAGATAGGTTATTGTGATGTGAAGTTTGTCTTAAAGGGTGTTTTTTGTTCGTCTTTTTACTAGTACATGTTCATGTTCCTTATTAATAGTAACAATTCATAGATCAAAAGATTAATTGATTTTTGTGATTAATTCAGTGGGTTTGCTTAGAGTCTCTGCTCTTGATTCCTTACTATGCTTTTGAGAGTAAGCTCTATGTAGAGGATTGTAGATTTTTTTTCTCGGATGCTGCTGTCAGACACATTGTTACTGATATTCTTGAAAGGTAGGGAACTGGTTGAGCTTACTTCTGTCATTACTTATATGATGCATTAAATGTTTCAAATTTTTGTTCAATCTGAAGGTGAGTCATTTAGCAGTACTTGTTTTTTGTTGCCTATTTTCTGGCTCTCTTCACATCATTTTTTCCCTTTAGATAATATGCTGACTCAGAGACCTTATTGTTGGATTTCTTTCTAAATAACCTTGCAGTCTTGAGAATGCTGGGGAGGGTTCTGTTTTACCCATGTTGAGATCCATCAGACTGGCCTTGGAGCTATTTACTCCAGGAAGGTTGTCTGTGGTTGTTTCCCAATGCAGTGGTATAGATTCTCAGGTGCAAATCATTTTTCCCTTTTTCAGCTTATGCTTATCTTAATTTTTGTCTATGCTTTTTGAGGTGACCTTGTGCACACCATAGTTTATGTGTGATGCAAGGGAAGCAATGGATCGGATGGTGCTATGTCCACACTATTTTGGAGCAGTGTTGAGATTTGAATATTTGATTATCATTTCTGCACTTTTTTCTGGATGTACAGCTATTTATATGTATGGCCTTAAGTCAGGCAGGTTGAATACCCAGTTACACAATCATGGAACATAGATATTTAGTACTGTGATATTTCTATAGGCCAGGGAGGCAGGGTGTGGTTTAGTCTTGTAGTGAGTATAGATGAGAATGTTATGAATTCTATACTGAATTTCCTGCCTTGAATTTTATAAACACTAAAATATTTCTTTAGTTAGCGTTGGTGACCTTAAAATCAATTTGATATTTGGCAAGGAAGTTCATATTTTTAGTAATATGTCAAAGACTGACAAGTAGACAGAATCTGGCTATGCCTACTTTATTCTTTTCTTCGGTTCTCTTGCTTGCCAGTGTTAATTTTTATTGTCAGTTGTTAGGGGGGGTGTAATTTTGTGTTAGGGTGTACACCTTTTGGAATAAAAATTAAACATTTATCAATGGAATTTTCTTCCAATTATTTAGCCTACAGAACTAGTATCTCCTGCTCATAATCAAATGCTTATCCCTAAGTATTATAATTTTTTATTTTAATTTCTGAAGTTAATTTCAATGATTGTCTTGTATCATTGGTATCTGTCTTTTAAATCTTCACTACTCTTTTCTGTTATTGCCATGAACTAAGTTTGGATATGCTATTGTTGTTTTTGTATGTTTTATACACATAAATTTAAACATCTTACGGGAAATGCTGAAAAGATAAACTAAAAATGTATAGGGAGACTGTGGAGCCTCAATTCATCCATAAATTTGTCTTTTAGTATCTCAGTCTTGAAATATATTTGTTTGATGAAAGAAGCTATATTCACATGTGGTCTCATGAATTGATGCAGATGATTTGGCATTTGGTTCGATCCTCTTGGATATTGCATGTCAGCTGCAACAAGCGGAGAGTTGCTCCTATCGCTGCACTTTTATCTTCTGTCTTGCATCCTTCCTTGTTTAGTGATGGGGACATGCATGAAACTGATAATGAACCTGGGCCCCTGAAATGGGTGTGTGGTTCCTTTCTTTTGTGTGTGCATGTGTCCGTGCATGTGTGGGTGTTGGTGTGAGTGTTAAGGGTGTGTTTATCGTGCACATGCTTTCTTTTTGTATGTGGTGGTTCTATATGAATAGGACTATGTCATTTCTTGTTTTAACATCAATGGTGCAGTTTGTTGAAAAGCTTCTGGATGAAGGCACAAAAAGTCCTCGGACAATTCGTCTTGCAGCTTTACATTTGACAGGGCTCTGGGTCTTAAATCCAAGGACCATAAAGTACTACATAAAAGAACTGAAGCTGCTAACACTCTACGGTTCTGGTGTTGTCTCGTGCTTATCCACTTTCTGGTTCTATTCATGTTCATTTATTTTCAGTTCCATTATGCATAAAATCACTGAGAATCTGAATTTTCACCACCAGTTGCTTTTGATGAGGATTTTGAAGCTGAGTTAACTGAAAATCATGATGCAAGAACTGAAGTTACATTATTGGCTAAAACCCCAGACCCTGAGTTGACTGAAGTAAGCTCTTCAATTATCAATTTGTTGTCTCATCTTTATACATGTGGTGTGTGTGGCCCAAATATTACCTGTAATTTTGCAATGTTGTTACTTATTATTTTATCTTATCATATGAGTTAGAGTTTCTCAATAAGTTTCTACTTTAAAGTAAGCACATTTGGTTTTGTAAAAATTTCTATGCTGTTTCTATAAATTATGCTCTGAAATTATTCCAGGTTTCTCTAAATTGTTTGATCATCTAGGAAGAATTTTGTGTCTAGACTTTTCATAGGTGTGTTGGGCATATATGGATTGCATGCTACTGGGCATTTAGTAATTGTTTTCTTGTGTTGATGTTCTGCATTTCTGTTGCATTCATATTGTAAATAAATTGCTTTCTTGGAGTTACTGACCATATTAACTTCTCTTTTCAGTTGTTTATCAACACAGAGTTGTATGCTCGTGTGTCTGTTGCTGTTCTCTTTTACAAGCTGGCTGACTTTACTAATATGGTGGGATCATCAGGTGGAAACAAAGATTACCAGGCAGCCCTTGAATCTGGAAAATTGTTTCTGCTAGAGCTTCTGGATTCTGTGGTATTGTTTTTTCTGATCTACATCAATTGATTGTTATTCCACATTTTCAATGAAGATGATATACCTAATGAAGTTACTATGTTCAACTAGCTAATAAACATAAGTCTGTAACCTCCTATTAGATAATTAGTATGTCTTGTTAGGGTAAACTGAGTTTGTTGACTATGTGAAACAAGCAAAGGAGGAAGTAAGATTATGTTTTGGAATTTATGCTTGCAGAAGTCTTGTGACTTGGGTAACACATCAACATTGTTGGTGACTGTAGCTTCCTTAATTATTTGCTTATTTACATCCAACTTGCATGAAAAGAGAGTTTCAACATTGTGCTGTTATTTTTTTGTTGATAAGAACAAACTTTCCGCATCAAATGTTGGGTTCTAGTTTTGATGGCATTCATTTCTGATGCAGGTAAATGATAAGGATCTTGCAAAAGAGTTGTATAAGAAGTATAGTGCGGTAACTGATACTTTTCTGATCATTTGCCTTGTTTTTTTTTTTTTTTTGGGTTTTTCCACCAACGGAAGTTGAGAATGATAAGTGAAGTAACCTAGTGCAACAAAATGTAAAACATCATATGAAGGAATTTGAACTGTAGTTTGGTTCTCTGTCATTCTAGGATTTTTCTGTTGATGATGCGTGAAGAATGAGGATATATGAGTCAGCATGTAATTAATGAAAAGTTGTAAATGATTAAATGTTGTAATATTTTAAAATTTTGTCAAACCTAGTGTTGTTCATGGTTCCATCTTTTCAGATTAAAAACAATTGTTACTATCTGTCCTGCCATTTGTCAACAGATCCATAGACGAAAAATACGTGCTTGGCAGATGATATGTGTTCTGTCACAATTTGCTGATGATGATATAGTTGGAGAAGTTGCTCATTGCTTGCACATAGCACTTTACGTAAGTGACTGCTGCATTTTTTGGAAAAAATCTTGTAGTTCTCTTCTAGGTTGATTTCAACGTGATCTGAAGTTTCATAATGTGATTAAGTTTGGTAAGTTATTTTGGAGAGAATACCTTGTAATTTTTCTCGTTTTTATAGAAATTTCATGAAAGTTTTTTCTCAAATAATTGTTTCGGAATGTCTGCTCCATGTGCATCGCACTCACAATTTTTACTTTTGGCTACTTTCAAAAGGCAGAATGCTTCTGTTTGGTGCTGACAGAGGTTGCTGTTAGGTTGTTCCTTAAATCAAGCTATGTTTACACATGAATGCTTCTTGTTTTGCATCATATCTCTAGTATGTGTACTTGGTGTCTAATATATGAGACTTGTTATATTTCTACAGATTTGATGATGTGATTTAGGTGGTTCGTCCCTGAGGAATTAATGAGAAATGTCATATTAATAACTGTCTGCTTTATATGATAGATTTATATATATTTTTCGATGTTACTCGGTTAAGCAACAGGCTTTTACTGTTTTAAGCACAACCATGTGAGCACATATATATGATTTTCATAACTAGCTAGAATTAGTAGTCTGTGGGTAGAGCTTGGTACATGCTGACTGATATGTGCCATTATTAGAGTTTTGTGCAGTTTAGTGACAGGTTTACCTTGATGTGCCTGAATGTGTGGTGAAATTTGTGAATTAGTTCATGGGGTTGCCATTCTCATTACTGGTTAGAAGGCTGTAACTGATGATGCTGAATGGTCTTTAATTAACAGTTTGACTTTGGATTGCATAAATATGCTCATGCATCTATATTTGTAGATCTACATAATGCAATGGTTTTCATTTACCTTTTTGTTGATCCCTGGTGATCTGCTTCTCATGTCTCTTTTGCAGAGGAACAACTTGCCTTCTGTTCGACAGTACTTGGAAACATTTGCGATTAATATTTACTTGAAATTTCCATCTTTGGTAAGGCATTTTCTTTAGTTACAAAGAGAAGCTTAATCTTCATGCATGGGATGTGTGCAGAACACACATTGAGCAATCTATATGCCTTGGATGTAAAATATGTATTTCAAGTGGGAGCAACACCCACATGCACAAGAAAAGGCCTCTTTAGAATTTTATCCTTATTTTTGTATGACACTTGAATGAGGCTATTCCCGTATAGAAGGAATAGCAACATTTTTCCAAATCATGTTTGTAGACAAATTGTTCCTAGTTTTTATTAACTTAATACTTAGGTTGATCAGTCATTCAGCTGCTTTAGTTGATTCTTGTAATTATATCACAGGTTGCAGAGCAATTGGTTCCCATATTACGAGATTATGACATGAGGCCCCAGGTAAATATTGCAGAGTGTAGATTTCACAAATTTTCATTGTTGGGAATTGCAACAACTTTCATCCTTTGTTCGGAAACCCCATTTAGTCATTGTTTCTTAGAATCTTGTGAAATTTTTAATACATTCATGAAATAGCTTAGCATCTATGAAGAATGATTTATATGGGTTTCATGCAAAGTTGAGTGACTACAGGTTATATGCGACATTTTCTGTACTGTATATAGATAGAGAAGCATCTACTTCTCTCTCAGATGCATGCACGTGCACACAGCTAAGCCTTTAACCAATTTCCTAGTCTGTCGAGTTGGATGAAATGATAGTCATATTTGGTGGAAAATTTTAATGATTTATTTCACTTATTTATATTCTGGATTTTTGTGGTGTATACAAATTTATTACCAATGCTGTATGCAACTGTATTGAGCTTTATGCATCAAATGCAGGCCCTTTCTTCGTATGTGTTCGTGGCAGCAAATGTGATCCTCCATGCTTCTAAAGAGACTCGATTCCGGCATTTGGATGAACTACTTCCTCCCATACTTCCATTGTTAACTTCACATCATCATAGTTTACGTGGCTTTACTCAGGTCAGTTTCATGAAAGGTGATGAGTGCCACATTCTAAATTTTGAATGTTTTTACTTTGTTAAAGCATTTTTCAATTTGAAATTTTTTTGCAGGTTTTGGTACATCAAGTACTTTGCAAACTTTTTCCTCCCATGGATCCTAGAAGCTCTGAATTCATACCTTTGGAAAAAAGGTGCTTTGAGGATTTGAAATTATACCTGGCAAAGAATTCTGATTGCATGCGGTATGGTATTTATCTTAAATTTTCAGTATCGTACATTTAGCAACTTCCAAAAGTTATTTCAATTAAATTTCATTTCTGATGTTAATGCATATTTTCTTAAGTTAGTAAGCATCTTTAATTGTTGTCATTTCTCTGGGCATGTGACAAGGGTAAATAGATGGATGGCATTGGGATAGAAAGTTCATCCATTTTCCAAGCAATTCAACTATTATAGGAGATATATATGAATGAAAAAAGAAAACTGGAAATGTCTTTGAAGGGTAAGAGAGGAATAGGATAAGAGACTGGCATGAGAAAGACTATAGTAGAAAGGGGTGTACCTCAAATCTTACAAACAATTAAAAATTATGGTGCTGGGGTATAAACTATTAACTCGAAAAATAATCCTTTCATCAGTGTAAAATTGAATAAGATTCATTTCTGGGAGCTGAACTGGATATGTAGAGAGATGGTGGCCTCTGACAAAGTTAAGTAATTAGAAATTGCAACAATATTGGATGAATGATATTTGAGTGCAATACAAATTAGATGTCTGCGTTGGATGTTGCTTTATACATTTGAATGTTTAAAACTGCCCTTGACATGTTGATTTGATTGCCTCTCAGCTTGCGAGCTTCAATGGAAGGCTATCTTGATGCTTATAATCCAAAAACCTCTGTTACTCCTGCTGGAATTTTTGTTAGTCGCGTAGAGGTATGGGATTTCTTAAATGTAGTTGGCTAACTTTTGAAATGTTTACCAAGAGTTAGTTTCTCAATTCCAGGTTTATGACTTTCAGCAAATTTTTTTCCCTAATAAATTAACATTAATGAATGAAATATTCAGCTGATAATGCCTTTTTTCTTTTGAGCTAATTGATAAAGTAAATCATGATTGATAGAAATCACCATTGGATAAATACTATTGGTGGGAAAGATTGCTTCCCTTGGTGAGAATTGGCTTAATACTGTGGCTTTTCAGTTAAGTAACCTGTTGACACCCTTTTCTTCCTGAAATTACAAGTTTTTATGGGAACGGTCAGGTTGCAAAAATTAATTGTTGCATATTGATATGTGAGCTGTGAGCTCAGAAACTTAATATGAAGTAGCATTTATTCTTCACTTATTTTTTATGCTTCTGGGAATGCTTTATTACTCTCTCTGTTTTAACTCCCCTGTTCCTTGTATGGTAAAAGTTGCAGGAAATCGAGTTTGAATGTGTTCCAACATCCCTCATGGAGCAAGTGCTTAATTTTCTAAATGTAGGCAGTTGTAAACTTCTATTGCTTTTCGTGTTTGGTTGATGTCTAATTTTCAGTTACTGCAGGATGTGAGGGAAGATCTGAGATGTTCGATGGCAAAGGATACAGTGACAATCAAGAATGAGAGTCTAAATATCAGTGAAGATCCTGAATCAATCGAGAAACTGCCTACTGCTTGTAAAGAGAGATTGTTTACTGAGTTGTCTAAAGATGCACATTTGGACTTCCAGAAAAAGATTACTTTCTTTAATCATGAGAAGCAGGTCAGGAATTCCAGTTCCTTATTGGGCAAAGAAGAAGTGTACAAGCAACTTCTAGGTATGTATTAACTTTGAGAAGTAATAATTTGAAGGTAAAGGTCTTTTAACAGTTTGATGAGACCATATTTGTGAAATTGCTTGTTTTGCTGGATTGGGGGCTATTTTGATACTTTCAATTGTATTTTTAGACAATAGAGCTGGTGATTTTCATGTGATTAAGCGTTTTTTAGTTTGGTTTTGGATGGCTTGGATTACACAGGTCGATTTTGAGGGTTCATTAGAGTTGGAGGGTACACCCAAAGCACAAAAAAAGAAAGAAAAAGGAAGAAAAGCAATAGAAATGGGAAGATAGAAAAAAATTGAAATTTTAGTATAATTAAAGCATTGTAAGAGTTTCACTAAGAGGAGTTCTAATAGGTACTTGCCACTAAAGAAAGAAAAGTTGTTTGTTAAGAAAAGTGTATTCCAAGTTCAATAATGCCCTGCTAGCAGAGAAATCATGCAATCAAAAAGTATTCCTGATTATTAACCAAATTACTTCATGTATAATTAACAATTAAACTCACTTGTTGTCTGAGGTTCTTTTTACTGTGCCCCCCTCCCCCCTTCTTTTTATAACCAAAGTGTGTAATTGCTCTATTGCATCAATATGTGCAAAAGCAGAAATGGAGAAGGAAGATGGTCTTCTTGATCAGTTGTTGAAGTCTAGAAGCATGGCCATGGAAAGGATAAGAGGAAACCGGCAGCATATTATCCTAGTAGCATCATTGCTTGATCGCATACCCAACCTTGCTGGATTGGCACGTACCAGTGAGGTATGTTGTGCTGGTTATTAAGTTATACTTCTTACTGCTTAATGGCTTGCTTTTTATAACTAGTATGTTTTTCTGCTCATGAAAACACATCCATTGACATTCCTTTCAGGTTTTTAAAGCATCAGGATTAGCTGTTGCAGATGCAAAAATAGTACATGACAAACAATTTCAACTCATCAGGTTTTGATGATAGCTTCCTGTCATTTAATCTGTAACTCTTTGGATAACCTATACTTGCTTGGCTTATATCATGTAAGACTAAAAGAGGCTGCTTCACTTTAGGTGAAGTTTGGTTCTTCAGGCACTCAAGTTATGATTTGCTCTTTTATGAACATAGAAAGGGATTTTAAGAACTTGCAATAGAAATAATAATGCTGTCTGAGACTGAATATTGTTTGTTTTCAGGGCTCCTAAAACCTTGCTATGGTGAATTTGAAAATTATTTGAACTGATATAAAACAACTGCCAATAAAATATACAAATCAACTGTAAGCTGCTAAATGACCTCTCCTCTTGTATGCTGATTTCCTGCATATTTTTTATAATCAAGGGTGTGGATGGATGAACAATGATCAAATAAGAGGGGGTGGAGAAAAAAGATTCCTGTAATTTGTTGTTGGTAGAAGGTAGCTTTGTAAATAGCTTCTTTTTGATGAAATGTTGTAGGCATTAGAACTAACTATTTATACTATTTTTCCATCTACCATTTAGACATAGCAATGACGTCAAAAGGTATAAATAATTTACTATCCTAACAACTGCATTGATTGTTTGTAGCAGTTAAAATGACAGATGAGAACTTGATCCAATCAAGGGTTGATATGTGTATTTCCATTACCAGGGTTGTAATGTATATGGCTGCTATAATATACAATAGTTTATAATCTGGCATGAAAAAGCAACATTTAAAGAGCCTGCAAAAAAACAGCCGTTCAACTTGCATGTGGAGATATTCATAGTTCATTTTGTGCTCATTCAAGTTTCTAGATTTATGTCCTCTGTAAAAGATTATAGATTTTACTTTATCATAATTTTGGAAAGCATGAATATAAAGCAGGAGCATATGTGGGATGTAGGGAGGGTAAAACCATGAGACTAGATTCAAAGTTTTAGAGCACACATAAGACATAGTTTTTCTCTACCTTCAACCTTTAATTGAGAGCTCGAGTTTATCCTGTAAGAGCTTGAATAAAAGTGTGGTTCCTTGATTCTGAAGTATGAGTAAGGTTCACATATCTGACCTTAATGTTTGAGTGACTTTTTGTGTGTCAGGTTTATTACGGAAGTCAGACAGATTAGCTTGTCTTCTGTTTGGCTTTTTTTTTTTTTTTTTCTATCATTTGATTCCATTGTGCGATTTGGTGTTTAAAGACCATCATACCACATGACAGTAGTGTATTTTTCTAAGTTTAATGATTTTAAGTTTATGACAAAAATCACTCACGTATATTGTGCTCTGCAGTGTGACAGCGGAGAAGTGGGTTCCAATCATAGAAGTCCCTGTAAATAGTGTGAAACAATTCTTGGAGAAAAAGAAGCGAGAAGGTTACTCGATCTTGGGGTTAGAGCAAACTGCAAACAGTGTACCTCTTGATCAGTACATTTATCCCAAAAAGACTGTAAGTCATGCTTTAAAGCACAAATCAATTTAACATTTTGCTAGTAATTTATTTTCCCCTTTCTTAATGCTTGAATTATGTTTCTTTAGAGTAACAAGTATTTAGAAAGTTACTTGGCTTTGATGCTAGCATTTTTACAATAGTCCAGATGTTATTTTTATCTTATTCTCCATTTGGACCTTTCTTTACCTTTGCATTTTCAGTTTCAATTAAAAATCAGTGGAAGGTGCTTGTCTTTAAAATTTACTAGTTGCAATAATTGCTATGAAGGAATTTAGACAAAGTTTCTTATTTCCTTCTTTTGCTAGGTCTTGGTGCTTGGGCGTGAAAAGGAGGGTATACCTGTGGATATAATTCATATATTGGATGCTTGTATTGAGATTCCTCAGTTAGGGGTTGTTAGATCACTTAATGTACATGTCAGTGGAGCCATTGCGCTTTGGGAGTATACTCGACAGCAACGATTATAATAGTTAATTACTTCTTGACAGGATATACGTTGGAGCTAACTTGAAATTCTACTCATCATTGTGTACTTGACAGCAGCAGTCTTAATATCTTTATCCTCTCCATTGGATAGGTCTTTTTTACTACAGACCATATTGTAATATCTTCAGTTTCTATCAGTCAGGCCCATTGTAATTTATTTGTTGTATCTGATTGTAATTTGTTTATGCACTATTTTTGGGCGATATGCCCTAGGAACTCACATTCTTCTCCATTTTTAGCGATTAAGCGGAAGACAAGCAGGTGATGTTGGTGAAATCATCAAAGTTCATGCTTTTGTTTTTGAATCAAGTCTAGATCAGGATGCATACTGTTGATTAACACTGATTGAAACAGCTCGGATATTCTGAAGGATTCAATAATTTTTGATTGTCATGTTTGAATGAATGTTTGCATTTTTAACCTGTTTCACTACATCTAATATGGGCTCATGTTTCTTGAGTATGGGACAAATTAATGGATGGTGAACATTAGCTGCCATTTGGAGAGATCAGACACAGTTCTTTGTACCAAAACTTGCATGACATGATCTGTTTTGGAAACAATAAATTGTTGATCTTCTTGATTAAACTGAGGATGCTTAACTTTATATTGGCACGACTATAAGCCTCTACTTTTTCCCCTTAGATTGTGAGCTCGAATTGCCATTGGGTTCTTTTTCCCTAGCAGAGTTGTTCTTTGCCTGTTTTATTAGGACTAATGCATCTTCACCATGATTTATAGATTTTTTCCCTACCTGCCTATACAGTTGACACTGAATGGCAGAGAGAATATGTCCACTTGCATGATCAAGTTGGTTTGAAAATGACAAATGCATGTATGGTTGTGTTGCATTGCATGAAAGTAGTTTGCATCTCTTCAACCATCTTCCTTATAATTTGTAGACCGTGAAGGGATATTTCTTCCTTGAGTCTTAGAAACGAACAGGTTGTGCAAAAACAGTAACACATTGTTAATGGCCGTGCTCTGTACTGCATTTCTCATATATTTTATTATTACTACCCTTCTATTTGCAGAGGCCAAGGTCTTCCTGGTTTTAATGGAGGAAGAGCCTACTCTGTCTCTCACAACAAAACAAAAATACCAGAGGTGTGACTTCAAACTTCTCTCCTTTTCTTTTCTTCCCATTTTCTACTTTTTTTGGAAAGGTCTTTTCTTCCTATTTAGGACCCAATCCTTATGCAAGATTTTGAAGATTACATGTCAATGTGTAGGAGTGACAAAAACACAGTTGCGTACAAAGAGAAAATAAATAGTAGCCACACCATTTTCTTGGAGTCTCACTTGCAGAAAGGATCCTACACCAAACTGTACAGCTATACTCATTTGCTCAATGGGTTTGCAGTCCATGTAACTTCGGAAGAGGTACATTTAAGTGGGTTATTTGGCTTTAGTCTAGCATTGTGACAATAATAAGATCTTTGATTCAGTCATGAAAACCTTAAAATCAGTTTTAAGTTTAATGCCATCATTGGAGCATCGGGTTATGTGCATTAGCTTTCATGTTCAACTTTATCACTGGCAAAAGAACTGAATTGGATGTGAGATGCTGAACTTTTGCAGGTTCTCAGCCTCCTGCAAAACGCAACTGGGGTTAGGTTCATCCATGAAGACGTCAAAATGGAGAAGCTTACAACACATTCACCTGATTTTCTAGGAATTCCAGCTGGTGTGTGGCCAAGATTAGGTGGTGCAGAGACTTCTGGTGAGGGGGTTGTAATAGGTTTCATTGACACTGGGATAAATCCTTACCATCCTAGTTTTATGAGACATTCGGCTTTAGGGTTTCTAAATAGCTCAAATTATAAGGGGAAATGCACTTCTGGGGAGCAATTCCCTTCAACAGCATGCAATGGAAAGATAGTCGGTGCTCAATATTTTGCACATGCAGCAATCGCTAATGGTGATTTTAATGCTGCTCGTGATGTCGCATCTCCTTATGATGCAGATGGACACGGAAGGTAGGTTATGCCCATACATTGATAAATTCAGAAGCAATTGGTTTTGCTGATGGTTTACTTTTCATTTCCAACTGTTAGCCAACTTACAATACTGCTGTTCTAGTTCTGGCTGGCAATTTATCATAGCTAAGTTTTTGAAATCATTGTTAACTACCCAAACTCATTTCAAATTCATTATTATGCATGTAAAAAAAATGTTTAACAGCCACACAGCCTCAATAGCTGCTGGGAACAACCATATTCCAGTGATTGCCAATGGCTTTAACTATGGTCATGCAAGTGGAATGGCTCCAGGAGCTAGGTAACTGACAGATGGAATCTCTGTGTTGTAGATAGTATTTGATGTTCAGCTTTTTATTATTATCGGTATCCACATAAACAGCTTGTGATTTTTGCTGAATAATACCATCAAGATCTAAATATCTCTTTCCATAGGATTGCTGTGTATAAAGCTCTTTATACTTTTGGAGGGTATATGTCAGATGTTGTGGCTGCAGTTGATCAGGTTTGACGAATGTGGAAAACTTCAGAAATTGCTCTACAAGATTAAATCCATTGTAGCTTAGGAATGTACAAAACATCATCTTTAAATGATCATTAACATGTTGTCTTCTTCTAGGCGGTTGAAGATGGAGTTGATATACTAAGCCTCTCTTTTGGACCATCTAGTGTCCCTCCTGGTCTTTCTGCTTTCCTTAGTATGCTAGAATTGGAACTCTTGTTTGCAACTAAAGCTGGTGTTTTAGTTGTTCAAGCTGCTGGAAATGGTGGCCCTTCATCCAGTTCAATCATTTCCTTCAGCCCTTGGATCACTAGTGTTGCTGCATCTATCACTGACCGCAAATATAAGAATACCATCTTACTGGGCGATGGACAGAGCTACTCTGGAGCGGGCCTTGCACGTATTTTATTCTCAAAATTCCAGATTATGATTTGGTCCCTTAGACATATATCTTTAACATATTTAAAATTCCCATCCTTCATCTCCTTAGTATAAATAATTCCTTTTAGACTTCTTTTCAAATTTTCTGGAGTTATTATTCAAGTTGACTATCAACTTTGCAGCTCCCACGGCAGGAGAAACACATTACCCCATAGCTGCAGCAGCTGATGTATGTGTGAGGACTGCAACCACCATCTCTGTTGATAGTTGTCAACATTCAGAACCTTTCATCGCAGCCTTGGTCCGGGGAAAGCTTATTATCTGCACATATACATTTGAATATGAGTATGAGTCTGCAAGCATTGCAACTGTTGCAGACACCATGAAGCAAATAGGAGCTGCAGGTTTTATAATCACAGTGGATCCTAATATTGGTTCTGAGCAAGTCAAAGGTACCACGCTGACACTGCAGATCCCTGCCATTATCCTCAACAACATGCATGCATCTTCGGTAGGCTGGTTTCTCTACTGAGAAAATTATCATTAACATTCTAGCTTTCTAATTTGTTTGAGACCTAAATACGATTATCTGTTTGAATTTTTTACATATTCTAAATGATAACAGATTTTTCTGGATTAATTGATCATTCCTTATGAGCATCCTTACAGGCTTTATGGGAGTACTACAATTCCCGTACTGTCAGGGGCAGGAGGGGACAGGCAGTAGTATTTGCTGCAAGTGCAAGAATATTAGATGGAAGGCGAGCAACTTATACCGGGCAGGCCCCGATTGTGGCATCCTACTCTTCTAGAGGTCCAGATGTGAACAATGCACTTCTGCAGACTGCTGATGTCCTTAAACCAAATGTCTTGGCCCCAGGGTCCTCTATTTGGGCTGCTTGGAGTCCTAGCAGCGAAGGAGATCAATACATCAATGGTATGACCACCTCTTGATTTAATTGATATAAAATTAATATCTCTAGTTTATTTGGATATCAGCACTGAACTTAAGCAGAAGATTAGTTTTAAACTCCCTCAATTCACCTCCAATGTTTGAAAATTTTGAGGATTACTCGTGAGAAATTTGGAACATCAATACATTCTTTCATGCAGGGCAAAGTTTTGCACTTATGTCTGGTACTAGCATGGCGACCCCTCACATTGCTGGCATTGCTGCTTTGATCAAGCAAAAACATCCTAAATGGGGTCCTGCTGCTATCACATCAGCAATGATGACAACTGCTGATAGAACTGATAGTTCGGGTGCTCCCATTCTAGCTCAATCAACAAACCAACTTGCTCCAGCTACTCCATTTGATTTTGGGGCAGGATCCATCAATGTGACTCTAGCAATTGAACCAGGACTTATATTCAATGCTAATTTCGAACACTATGTTCAATTTCTTTGTGCTGTTCCAGGTGTTGATGGTAAGTCTGTGAGACAAGCAGTAGGAGTTGAGTGCCCAACTAATAGGAAGTTCTGGTGCTCAGATTTGAACACAGCAAGTGTAACAATTTCTAATTTAGTTGGATCAAGGGAGGTCATCCGACAAGTAACAAATGTGGGCCATATGAACGAAAGATATAGAGTACTTGTGAGGGAGCCATTTGGTGTGAATGTTACCGTCTTGCCACCAGTGTTCAAAATCAGAGGCTATGCTTCAAGGCACCTGAAGCTCATATTCCAAGCAACTGGGACAACAAATGCTTACACATTTGGGGAAATGGTATTGCAGAGTATGATGCACACTGTAAGAGTTCCTTTAGCCGTTTTTGTAGGTTCTGCCGTAAGGTCTTGAAATTTGTTTGAGGCATGTCTACAAACAATCAAACCCTCACTCTCTTAACCAAAGAAACAAATACGAAATATTTGACATGCCCCTGAAGGGATCAACTCTTTGGTCAAGAAACATGATTGCCATACATTGCAGCATTGCACTTCCCCAAAATCGGAAGGTCTATACCCTCTATGAAGGTAAGAATTTGTTCATCAAATAATTGTCATCACATACTTGTTCAATGAAGAGAAATCACCATTTCTACAAGTTACAAGTGAATGCATCCTGATGTGTATATAGATTTTCATCTTTAATACATAATCTTGTATTTTTCGATGCATTTCAAACCAAAAAGTCACCTCTATCAAAAATTACAATCAAGACGCAAGCAAAATTGGAGTTTTATCGATGCTTGTGCAACATCGAGATCGGTTTTGAGAAGAATCTCCACTTCTTTTGCATCTGTGAGTAGAGAAGAGAGGAGTCATTGCATTTGTAATAATAAACCAGGGAATTACTCATACGGATAAAGATAATGTGAATTGGACTTGGTGAAATTCCACTACACATCACCTGTAAGCTTGTCATTGCAGCTTTCATCATACTACTATTGCTTGATGTGGATCCAACGTGCTGTTTTTTCTTCCCAGTTTTCTTGGCTCGGAGGGTCGTCAAAGACCTAAGAAAACTTGGGATCAAGATTCCCCAGTTGTCAAAACAAGCGGGAGTCTTGGAATATTTTGGCTTACTTTGGACAGCGACAATCTACCAAAGCAAAAAGCCGTAAGTAATCACCATTGCACAAAACCCAATGGACCCATTTTTTTTCTTCTTCTGTTTAAACCACACTGCTTCCACTTTCCTCCAACTTAAAAACGAGAAGTTGCTATATGAATTAGTCTATACAAAGACTGGAAAATCTCACCAAACTTAACGTTCAGTCAAATCAAACTTGTGGTAGGGTATCATTCACAAATGCTTTCAGGTGAACTAATAATGACTAGGCTTTAACGGTGGATGGGGAAAAAAAGTGAAAGAAAAAGGATCCAGTGCATGTAATATGCAAGTTAAGCATTAGTGGGATACCTTGTTTGATGCTTGCTGATCATTGGTAGAAACTGGTTTTGACTGCGAGGGTGTGGACGCCGCTGATCGAGCAGACTCCCTAAGGCGCTGGGAGTAATGAAGAAGCTCAGCTCTTCTGTTGTACACTTTACCTGTGCCTCCATGCTTAATCTGCTCTTGCTTGATGGTGTGATGAAGATAATGGCGTTGACGGTGGTGTTGGTTGTTTGATGAAACTCTCCTCCGGGGCTTCTCTACGTAAACGGTTACCAACACCGCCATGTCTTTACAGCGTGTCGCCTGAAACTCATTCCAGAAATATCATCTCAAGTGTTTTTAGCTCCATATGTAAATATATCTGTATGTAGGTGGAGAAGAAAAGAGAGGGGAGCCTTACCATTTTGGTTGGCATGTTATCGACAGGGAGAGAATTTGAGTTGGAGAAATCATCAGAAGACAACATATCTGACGTTTTCAAGGGCAAGATGTGTTAAATATGCAAAACCCAGACAGAGAAAGCCGACTTTTGGAATCATTGGTCGGACCGCTCAACCGACCTCATTGTTATATGCTAAAAGCTTTCCAAATATGAGAACCATTTGATGCAATTTATACAAATTAACCAGGGACATTGTGACAGAGAACAGGACACCTGAAAGAAACAGTGAATCCCATGCAAGAAAATCCTGATTGGATAATGCTATATAACTATCTTTGCCAATTAATTTATTGAAGAAAATGGTGCAACGACCAACAAAACTTATTTTCCTGATTTGCTTGTATATAAAGAGTAATTCATTAACAAACAAGTTTCAGGATAAAGAGCAAGAAAAAAAGAATTACTTCGAGAGGGGAAAACATCGTTATCATATCACTCAAGTGGTTGATGAATCACCATTCTATTTGTTCCATTGCTTTCCACTTGACAATTGCCATTTCAAACCTTGACGAAAAGATTGCACCTAACTTAAAACTTCTCTATTAATTCTTTATTAGGTGCTGCAAAAGTAATGCCTGATGCATTGCATGCTGATTGAACGTTTACCTTTTCCCATTGCTTCCTTTTTAATAAAACCTCCTTGGGTCGACAATGAATTTGTTGATTTTTAACCATCATAGTTTTTTTTTTTTCCACCTTATTCTATACGATAAACAATAATTTTATCTCACTGATGTAACAAGGAAGGGCAATCTCATCGTTTACTCGTTTTGACCGCCGGCATGTGTGCTTTCTTACCCAGCAACACCAACATAAGTAATTAACTAGTCGTTTTAGCGTTCAGAGTTTAGACCCCGTAAACTGCCTCGTGCCTTCGTCCAGGCCAGACGCCCTGGAAGCATAAGGGACCCCGGCAGCTCAAACATTCGTGCGGCCATTGAATTTGTTGTACTACTGTTTTAGAAAATCCACTCCAGCTATTATAAATGCGTTTCTTGTTATTGTTTTCTGTGTGTTTCTCTGTTCAAATATATAAGTTTAGGCAGCCACTATCTGCAACTTTCAACATGCAGCAAGGATACTTGGGTTGGACTATAATCTTTGAGAAGAGCCTGTTGATACCCTTTAGAGAAATCAAAGTAAATTTTGCTTTGCGTCAATAGAGGTTAAGTTCTTTCATTGTCTCTGATCTTTTCTTCTGCCCTTGTTCTTAATTTTTTATGGGATTTGATCTTTCAGGTTGACCGCTCAGGTTCTAAAAGACGATCGTTCTCTTTAAGTCTTTTATAGTGGATTTAGAATCCAACATGACAATGCTTGTGGACCTATGAAAGGCGGAATTCGTCACCACCCTGAGGTGATCATATACATAGATATTCTCTTTTTCTTTCCCCCGCCTCTCCACATTCATTGATTTCATCATTTGTTGCCCTAATTGCAGATTTATGGGTTTCGTATTACGGTTCATTTGACAAAAAATTAAAAAAAAAAAAGGATGCATGGTCAAGTTTCCGCTGGTTTTTTCCTTGGGACATTGGGCTTCGTTTTGAATGAATTAAAGTGGATTTATCAGTTTGAATTTATGCAATTTTAGGGTGATTCAATTAACTTTAGACAGATCATGAGGTTGTATTCGAGGTTTTGGTTGTGAATTGCCCTACATTAGTTCAAAATTTGATTCACAGTTATGTGAAGATATACAAATTCAGTTCTGTTTGATGAAAAAGAAAATGGCTTTATATTTTTCAAATGCTCATGTATGCCTTCTGTTTCATCGCTGGGGCATTGACGGGAAGAAAATATATCTGAAGTTTGACTTTCAAACACTCTTGTGGAGATTGGATAGCACATATATTGCATTAACTTTTGGTATAACAAGACTTAAAGGCAGGGATTTTCTCTGCTTTGAAAGTTCTTCCTATTTGTAATTATTCACTAATGAATTAAGCAGTATATACAACAATGATGTGAGACAAGTTAAAATTATTAACTAATTACATAGCTGCATAAATGGTATTTATAAGTTGCAATGTTCTTGCTTCTTTGAAAAGTTTGAACATATGTAAGAATTAGCTGATGATGTCTTATTTTGTCGAATAAAGTTCTACATTTTTTATCTGCAAAAGGAAGAAAACTAGTAGAACTTCACCTCTGAACATAAATGTAAACATTTGGTTTGATCACTAGTTTACCCTCTAGTTGAAAGCCATTTAAAATTGCCTTACTACTTCAATAATGGAAATTTTAGAGCATAATGTTGGTTTTTATTTGGTTTTGAAGAGCATGATTTGAGTAGAGAATATAGTACATGATTGAATACCATGGTTTGCGCAGCAGAATTGAAGAAGCTAGATCTATGGATTTCTCAAATTGACCTGTGTGAACAAACTTACAATGCGTTTTTATTTTTTTGTCAAATCTTTTTGCATATATCTTTTATTGAACTTTCTGAAGCAGGCATTGCACCTGCACAGTTTCAGTCATAAATACTGAAAGCAAGATTAGTGATGATAACATACTCATGTCATTCATCACAGCTGCTGAAGATTATACTCCAATTGTTCTCAGCTTGTACTGTTTATGAACACTTTTATTTTTTGTAGTTCTAGGTTGATCCAGATGAGGTGAATGTACTCTGGCTCAGCTAATGACATGGAAGAGAGATGTAGCAGATATTCCTTATGGCGCAGCAAACGGTGGATTTTGCTGCAATCCTAGAGAGTTTAGTGTAAGGGATTTTGAACGTCTTACTCATGTTTTCACCCAGAAAGATCCATGATCTTATTGGAATTCATAGAGATGTTCCTGCACCTGACATGGGAACTAATTTACAAGTATTCTGTTTCTTGTCTAATGAATTGCTTATCAGTTATCACCTTATATTCTTGACCACTTGTATTTTCTATTTAAGGCTACGAATGCTGTGTTTTTGTTATTTGTCCCCTTGATCTCCTGTGAGAGGACCATTTTTTGTCTCTGTAACGTGGCTCTTTTCGATTTCATGCAAGACTCCGAGGGCTCTGCTTTTTGTAAGCTAGTCTCCTTCCTTGAGACTCATACAGCGATTAAATTCCTGCCTTCCAAAAGAAGAGTTATCACCTTATATTCTGTTAGCAATCATATTTCAATTTTACATACAGCTGTTTTACTCTCACATATTGGACAGACGATGGCATGGACTCTGGATGAACACTCAAAATTTTATTTTTCTATTTAAGTATCCAATTTGTGCACTTTCAATTTCTTTTAAAGGGAAAATGTTGCTGATGTGAAGGCAAAGTTTATCATAGAAGCCGGAAACCATCCAACTGATCCAGAAGCAGATGAAGTACTGTGGCAGCTGTGCCTTCCACTAAATTTTCAGGAAGTAATTTTCTATTTGGAACATAATTAATTAACAAAATTTTTGTTTTGTGCTATTTCAGGAAAGGAGTGGTTACACTTCCTGGCATCTAGGCAAATTCTCATGGTGTGGCTCTTAGTTTCTTTGAATGGGTTCAGGTTACAACCAATTAACTTTCCCAGCCTACTCTCGAACATAATGGCTCGTTGTGCATTAATAACATGCTTTTTTAGGCATCGCAGCTTAAACCTCTTTTTCCCTAGTCTAGCACAGTAACATAGGTTCATTAGGCATTAGGATTTATGTGGGAAGAAGAAACGGTCAACTATAAGGTAAAGAGGGACATGAAGAGAGCTTTCCATGACACTGAAGCAATGTGCCATACTCATAACTGCAACCCCAGAATAGGAGCCTTCACCCTAGGATCGAATAGGGTTTGCTCGTGCTATGCTTTGAGGGCTGCTTTTGAGGGGCTGGGAAGCATAGTACCCGATCTTGTATTTGAATCTGCTGTCTTTGACAAAATATTTAGACCTTAATTTATACCTTGTTATTGTCCAATCATCTGTTTTTCTTGATCATGGAATGCTGTCAGTTTGAACGAAAGCTAAAGCTTTAGATTGATGCATAAACTGACAGCTGAAGTTTTTGTTATTTAGGTCTTAGCAAACCTGCTTGGCAAAGAATTTAGCTAAGGAAAAGTAATTAAAAAGGGTAAAATATGAGGAAAGTGCTGCATATCATTCAGATGTGAAAGCTTTAACTGAAATCTTCATAAACTTTAACATTTCATTAACGCTAAAATCATACTCAAAATAGTTCAAGAACGCAACATAGCTAGGCACATAGAAACTATTCAAACTTCAAACCTTGCTTCCTCACAAACAGGGGGAAACTACAACTATAACAGTGGTGAAAAAATACATGAATTGTTAAAGGACCAAAAACTGCAAATTCAACTAGTTATTCTTGGAACTGGTATCATCCTGCCAAGTTGCTTGCCATTGCTTGTCGTAAAAGGTTGTCTCTTCAATCAGCTTCTTGATGTTATCTAAATCCTCATTCTTCCTGATTAAAAGTACTCCCACAACAGCTACAAACAATAGAGTCTTACAGAAGAAGTTGCTCATTTGATCAACCAGACCTACTCCAGTCAAGCTATCAACCAGATAAGCCATGAAGAACCCTATCATCGCCGCACGGCCTGCATAAAACTCATAATAATAAATTAAGATCAAACAAGCCAATAACACTGCTACCTGATCCACACTGTCAAAAGATTGATCTTTATCAAGAAAGCGAATAATATAGATTTGCAAACCATTAAGCAATTCAGCTTCGGGTAGATGAAACCTCTTCATCCATGCCCACCAAGGTATGATGGAAGTGTCAAACACTACAGGGTCATCATTACTGGTTGTTTCTGGATTGTCCTGGAGCCATTTTCTCCTCCTGACCTCTGAGAATGATTATTCAAGGAAGTCTGTTAGAAACAAAGGAATCACAGAATCAACAGGAAATATTAGACTACAAAGTCAAATATAACATATATATACCTCAATTGATCTGCCCTCTTTGAAATCAAACAGAAATATAATATGCAACAAAAATTTTGGCGTTAAGTTAAAACACAGGCCTAAACCTGTTTTTCCTTATATTCATAAGGCTAATATGAATTTAGTGAATAACAGGGTTTTACACTGGAAAAGGGTTCTACTTATTTCAATTCTGCAGAACAAAAGAATCCAGAGGTGGGACATACCAAAAGAATCATGTGGCAATTACACTTACTTTAAGAGTTTGACACTCAACCCCCATCTTAAGGAGAATATACATAAGAATAACTCTATGGAAGGAAAGGAACACCTTGGCCTTGACTGTATCTAATCAGAAAAGGATTCCTGTTGCATCTTCAGGCCTAGCCAGTGACTCTCGTCCCTCCTTTCCTGTTGTTGGACTCTAGGTAGGGTTCTTTGATTAATATCCTTTCCTATTTAAATGTTATCAAAGAACAAGCCCACTCAGGGTTTTTAATGAAAACAAAGAGATATTGAAGTGAAACTTTTCATTCAATTCAGTTTCAAGGGGACAGTCAAGCTTGCACTGAAGCTCTCGTACCAATGAATACTCATAACAACTAAGAAATACCCATGTCTAACCTTTCAGAACTTTAAATCAAGAATCAACCACTACATGCATCTGAGATCCAATCAATTATTTGGGGACTTCACCACCATAATAGTAATTCTATTCTTTGTGCCACCACATTCCCATTTCACCTAAACAACCTAGTTGCAGCACACCCAAGATGAGCAACTGCCACTCAGAGAGTAAGCTTTTCTTCAGCAACAATTTGAACTACCATTTTGTCCTTCTCCCCTATCAAAGAACAAGAAGGGAACAAAATGTTTTAAGTTTCGTAATGCATCTCAAAGTAGCTGCATTAAGACCCTTTACAAGCAACCAAGAAAACATCACAATTATAATAAAAAATTTGGATCTTAATCCATGTAAGAATTCAGGTTTTGCATGCAGAAAAGTGAAACAAGAAAATTCACAGAAATTGTCACTTTATTGTGAAGCAAAATCCAAGAATTGGTTACTTCGTCCATGAAAATGGAATTATTAAATTGTCAGAAAGCAACTAAATTAGAAATCACCAACAGTAAATTAAAAGAAAAATCTTGCCAGCATCAATAACAGCATCCCAGTCAGTGCTCCCATTCTTCTGAAACAGTTTCAAGTCCCATGTTCCTCCAATCCACCTCGGATCCTCAAACTTGCTCAAAACGTCAATTTCTGGGCTCGTAGCCGCCCCGTTAGTCCCAGCAGACTCCGCCACAGCCTCTTCAAGTACAGGGTCTTTCTGCTTCGGATTTGCGTCTTCAACAGCAGCAACTGAAGCTGAAACTCCAGCTCCATTGTCTGGTAAAGACTTGGGAGTGGAAAGGAAACGAAAGGGTGGTCTTCTGAGAGGGAAAAAAAAAGTTGATTTATGGGCGAAATGGGGTTTGACAGACAAGGATGTAGTAGGAGGAGAAAACGAGGCCATCGATATGGACATGGATTTGTTTTCTCAGTTTTGTTTTGTTTTTTGAGGTTTGGGTTTTTGATGATAAGGAAGTGATTGAGTTTTTTTCTCTTCAGTTTCAGTTCATGGCTGAGTTTAGTTTGTTCCTAAGTGGGTGGGTGTTTGAGGTTGCCAGCTATCCTACTTTTTGATATAAAAAATTAAATGCAGTTGGGCAGCTTGGGCTCACATTACACTCCCCTTCTTACATGCAAAGATAACATCTTAACCTTACATTTATTCCAACATTTACTATTTATTCATAAATAAATACTGCAATAGGCACTTTGCTCTTGGTTTTTTAATTTGTTTTAGTAATTAATGATTCAAGGGGGGTGGGGGGAGATCAAACTGCAAATGAATAGAAAGGGCTCATCAAGATCGTGTCATATATTTTCCCCTTTTTTGACACATATTAAACCCATTAAATTTAATTTGATTTCACATTCAAACATTAATTGGGTCACCATCAACTTTCAAGATTTTCCCATTTCTTGCTTCATTTTTTTTTGAAAGTTTAATTAAACCTGCACCATTTGACCATATATAATCGATTTAATTGATTGAAATCAAATTAGACCAATAAATATATTGGACCGATTGATACATATATTGACTTAAATTTAAATTATTTAAAAAATAATAATTTATTATTTGGACATACAAAGTAAATTTAAATTTAGCTTGATATAGTGCAACTTCACATAGTAGATTTAAAGTATGCACTATGCTATAATTAGAAAAAAAATTGCCTTTTATTCGAAAAATAGTGAGTGATGAACTTGAAACCATTTTTTATATTTTCATACGCTAAAGTCACTTGTTAATAAAGATGAGAATAATTATAATTCTTGTAAATTTTTATGCTTCTTTATTGTTTCCCTCTATTATATCGATTCAAGTAGGCTTATGATGCCTTTGTTGGTATGTAAAAGGGCAGAACAAATAATTAAATAAATAGATTAAAATATAGAAATAGAATCGAAATTGCAGTTTGGGACTGCTAGCCACAATGAGAAAATGGGCCAGTAACCTGCTCAATCCACTAGCTCTTTTTGTTTTTTCTACAAACAATGACCTTAATTATCACCTTAAAATTTAATTAGGTCAGGATCAATGTCCATGATTTTCTTTACACATGAGTAATGCACATGTGATTTTTTTTAAAACCAATAAATAAAATAATTAATTTGAATTTTTAATTAGTTGAAAGCAAAGAGTTATGATTTTGAAACGATCCTTTTTTTTATAAGAAGAAGATTGATTTGACCTTTGTTAAACAGACCAAGCCCTGTGTATGATTAGTTTAGGTCCATATTCGAAGGCCCTCCAACCATAAAAGAACTGTGTAATTTTAACTGGACAACTAGAAAAAGCTATAAGAACAATAAAAAGAAGAAGCCAAGTTTGCTACATAAATTATAGTAATAGCCAATTGGTAAGACATGGTTTTTAGTGCTATTTTCTCTTCCTTGTTAAAACCAAATCCTGTTCATTCATCTAGTATAGTTCAAAATAGAAGCGTTTCTGACAGTTATTCATGTTTTGGCATTGGTAAGTGGCATGGCATGACATCACTGTTCTATTCCTTTTTCCATCCTATTTAGTGATTGCATTGGTATGAAGCAATCCTGACATCAATATTGGTATTGCTTGGGGGTACCATGGTTGTTTTCTTGAATTAATTACAGGCTAAAGTCTAGAGCAATCGTCAAATTTTCAACTCAATCAACCTGTTGCTGGTAACTGTCAGCCAACGCCAATTAAAAATCTTTGCGTGATTTCTGAAGGTCAATCTGTTCCCTCTTTTTGACATTTTCATATAAGCACAAGAATTCTTGGCTTTGGTGAGGAGAAATACTTTTCATCATCTCAAGAAAGATGGTTTTTAACAGTAAGCAAAGAAGATGTTCTTTCCGCAGTTTCTGAACATGTTGGCCTTGCTTCTTGTGCCAATGAGCTCGTATTTGACTATGGATGTGAACATTTTTTTTTTCTTCCAGTCCAAACGCACCCTGCCCAGTCATTGAGTCATTGACCACAAAGAAAAGGAGAGCGACGTCTCCATCCCGCACTTTCTATGGCATCCAAATACAAACGTTGGGTATGTCAAGGTTGAACAAACAACAGTGATGTCGGCCAAACACAACCTTTCCAATTATTTTGGTCACGTTGGTATTTGACAATGAATGTGGACATTTTTTTCTTCCGGTCAAACACAGCAAGCCTAATCATTGACCGCAAAGAAAAGAAGAGCAACGCCTCCACCTCCATCCCTCACTTTCTATTGGCATCCAAGCATAATATTGCCTGCAACTGCGCTAGTGCAAGAAAGTTTTTCGAAACTCTTCTAGGAAAAATGTTGGATAGGTAAAGGTTGAACGGTTCTTTCACGTTTTCTACGCCTATTTCTTAACATCTTCAAGTTGTCCACGACGAGTTCTTCTGCGTATTGTTTGCAAGATTGCCACAAGTTGTGCTAAAATTGCCGTTTGTGAGGTTAGAAATGGATAAGAGATTGAAGAAGGCTGCTGAGGATGGAGATGTCGACACGCTGTATGCCTTACTCGCTCAGGATCCATAACTTTTGGATCGAATTGATCAGATTCCAATTGTCGAGACTCCATTACATGTTGCTGCAAGCTTTGGGAGGACTCATTTTGCTTTGGAAATTGCTACCTTGAAGCCTTCGCTTGCACTGAAGCTGAACCATATTGGCCTTAGCCCTATGCATCTGGCACTACGAAACGGGTATATCCACACGGCAAGAGGGCTTATAACGGTTGACCCCGAGCTAATTCGGGTAAAAGGAAGGGAGAGGATTACTCCTTTGCATTATGTAGCTGGAACAGAACAAGTCGATCTCTTGGCTGAATTTTTATCGGTTTGTCCAGGGTCCATTGAGGATTTGACCGTTCGATGTGAGACTGCCGTTCATGTTGCTGTGAAAAATCACAAGTCTAGAGCTGTTAAAGTCCTGGTTGGTTGGCTTCAGCGGGTCAACAAGGAAGAGATTCTAAACTGGAAGGATGAGGATGGTAACACTGTCTTGCATATTGCAACCTCCACAAATCAACCAAAGGTCAGTGATTTACTAGTCATAGTAGATGCTATTTGGCATTGCATTTCATCAAGGAACATGCTAAACATTTATCAGTAACTCAAGACTATTTTTAGCTCCAGATACAGAGCTCCCCTGCCTTATCACCTCACTTTGAAGCAGTCTTTGGATCATTCATGTTAGTTCGTCTAGAAAATTTAAAAATTTTAAATATTTAGTCAAACTACGTTTGCCTCTTTATGAAGGTCATGAAGTCAATTATTAGACATGTCAATGTGAATGCAAAGAACCTCCAAGATTCGACAGCTATGGACATCTGCCTTCAAGAAGAATTACAGCAGAATGAAGTTGGGGATATTCTTCGCCATGCCAAAGCTAAGCGAGCTTCATCTCTTGCTACCTTTACTATAACCCTTGCGGATTACCTGAGTCAGGAACCATCGCTTCTTGAGAAAAGGGACAAGCACCTACGACTCAAAGGCCAAAACCAAAGGAAATCCCGCGGCAACATTGGAAATGTAATACTTGTGGTGGCCATATTGATTGCAACAGCAACTTACCAATCTGGTCTCAGCCCTCCTGGTGGATATTGGCAAGATGACTACGATCCTCCAGCCAACAACACCAACAACCTCTCTGCCACCTACCTGGGGAAAGAAGGGCGACCACATCGAGCAGGAGACATGATCATGGCCCCAGCGTCGATCTTTGTCTTCTTCACTCTTAATAGTATAGCCTTTTATGCATCCGTTTCCACAATTCTTATAATCATAATGGGGCTTCCTTACTCAACCACATTATACGTTTCTGCATGTTTCTTCTTGTTAGCTTACTCGACTTCATTGGCTAACAACTTCCCTTATCCGCCACAGGAAAATTTGACAAACACAGTTGCTGGTATTATATATGCGCATGTAACTTACTTGTTCACAGGAATGATTATTTTGATCACTTTGGTGGCACTTCTTCGGCATAAGAGGCTGAAATGGAGGGTAGATTTTCTGGGAAGAAATCTGGGTGATGCTTTATAAAGGTGATGTGAACAGAGTGCCCAATTTCGTCAATAGATTTTACCCCTACCATGAGGCTGCAAGTGAAGTCAACAGTAAATTTGATTTTACTGCTAGGATTGTAACCTTTCAATAATTTTGCGTTGACTCAATATGGTAGGAGTATATAAACAATACAATAGTAACAATTTTAAAATTTTATTTTTTTAAGATTCAATATTTCAGATTATCAAACAACACCCAGACAATTGCATGTGTGATATATTTAACTCTATATGTGTGCATGTAATAAGAATTCATTTTCTATTTCAAGCTGGCATTATTTCATAATGCTTTCTAAATTACAAAGACAAACTACAATGATTTTGATATTTAAGTTCATAATTTTGTAATTATATATGTTTCTTACCCACATATATTATATACATAAATTAAATTATTGTTATGTATAACATGAAAAATAATTGTAGGATCGTTACAAAGATTAATAACAAGTTTAAAAATTTATAAATGAACTTGGCATTTCAATTGTGTGTCTATGTGCATAGATATAAATGTATATTGTGACTGTTTGTTTGAAAATTATTGGGAAAAATATACCAATACTGACCAAAGATGCACGTTAACGGCTACCATATCTTATTCGGTGGAATCTTCCTCCTGATTGATTAGCATGGATCCCTTGCTTTCATTGCTGTAGGTCATTATTTTATTAGTTTACTGAATTTCTATTAACAAAGGGAGAAGTTTACCTCTATGTTTCCTCAAATATAAAAGTCACATAAGTATATTTAAAGTCCTCTATATATGAAGAATTTGCACCGAAGTCTTCATTAATCTACGGAGAAAAGTCTGTCTATATGGATGATCGCTTGATTGAGGCCTCTCAACAAGGAGATATAGATGTCTTGTATGAATTAATCCGGGAAGACGCCCATGTCTTAAGGCGCATCGATGAAATTGTGTTTGTAGATACGCCTTTACACATTGCAGCTTCCTCCGGGCATGCCAGTTTCGTGATGGAGATGATGAACTTGATGCCATCGTTTTCCCAGAAGCTAAACAAGTCTGGCCTTAGCCCCATGCACCTTGCTATGCTAAATGGGAATTTGGAGTTAGTACTCTCATTTCTAGAACTTGATTGTGATCTTGTTCGTGTCAAAGGAAGGGGAGGCTTAACTCCTTTGCATTTAGCTGTCAAGTATGGAAACATCGATCTCTTGGCTAGTTTTCTAGTAGCTTGCCCCAAGTCGATCGAAGATTTGAGTGTCCATGGTGAAACTGCTTTGCATATTGCTGTTAAATACAATATGTTGGAAGCTCTTGCAGTTTTGGTAGGATGGCTTCAAAGAGTCTGTCATGAAGATGCCTTAAAATGGAGGGTGAAGATCCCCAACAGGAAGGATGATCAAGGCAAAACGGTATTGGACATTGCAGCATCCAATAATCAACTCGAGGTAAATCTTCCTATAGTAGTAAATATTTTTTTTTGTTTATTATTAAGCATGTAATTAATTGGGTTTGTCTAATTTGGATTGTTTTGAATTAATCTGACCTCATATCTAGAGTTGGTTTAACTGACTTGCCTTTGATGAATTGGCGCTGTTATACTCATGATGCAGTTCATTAAGTTGTTGTCTGAAATAAATGCCCAGAATTCTAAGGGCCGGCGTCTAACAGCTTCGAGCACAATCCAACATAAAGTCAAATTGTTTTGGAGAAGGATGGCTAAGAAAATGCGATATTGCGGCAGAAATAGAGATCTTTTGAAGGCTTCATCACCTGAATCTCGTAAAACTCTCACAAATTACTTAAGGTCAAAGACATCATTTGATGAAAAGTTGGCGGTTTTCATTACTCGTCACAAGCTGAAGATCTCCGATGATGCACGCAGTGCGTTGCTAGTGGTTGTTGGGCTGCTTGTCGCAGCGACCTTCCCGGCCATATTCAGTCCCCCTGGTAGTGTTCGGCAGGGTGACAACGAGAACCCAAGTACTGTTACTGTTACGAACAGCACCGCTTCAGGGAGACCACCGCTTGCAGGGACGGTTGTCATGGACTCAGGGACGTTCCTTTATTTTTCGATGTATAACAGCGGTGTCCTCCATGCTGCAGTCTGTTTAACTGGTCTTCTCCTCCCAGATGGCTTTCTTGGGGCGATTTCGATGATCCTACTTCTCGTCTTGTTATCCTGCTACGATGTGTCAATACAAATTATATCACCAGATGATGGGGTCGTCAGAATGGTTGATTCCTTGCTTTTGACCTCCATGTACATGACCGTGGTTTTCGTCCTGGCGATGCACGAGGGAGGAAAGCGAAAACTTAGGCGACTTTGCTACGGTACAGACTAGTGCCAACCAGAAACGAACATATCCGCATGATGTGAATGTTGTAAGAACCAAGAAATTTGAGAGGTATTTCTAGTGTATTGTAGTTGTTGACTGAGTCAGGTATCAGCCAACCCACTCTCGATTTCAAAGCCAAATGAAATACTATACAACTTCAACAACCCTGATCAATTTATCAAATCTTAAAGTATTGCATTATATTAAATTATATTACGTATAAAACGGTATTTGACATTGTAAATTATCATTTGTTTCATTACTTCACACAAAAACATGTAAATTCATCCCAATTTTCAATGATGGACATTGTAAATAAAGAACAACTGAGTTTTGAAAGTGAAATTAATAATGAGAGCTTCCTTGACCTCTCTTAAAGCTTTTGAACTATTTTTCGATATGGGGGTTGGTGAAAACGTCTTAATTAAGAAATTTATGCCAAGGTTTTCGTCAAACAATTGTTTGTATTAATTAACTGGAAAATTGATTTTCATGTTTGTTTATCACCTAAATTTCTGTTGAATAAGATCACAAAGAGCTTGTAGCAAAGTTGAGGAAACTTCCCATGTGTTGGCAAAGGCCAAAGTATGCATGTAAATACATTTAAAATTTTGTTTCACTGACTTGAGCTACGTAAATAGCTCAGCTATGACATGATCATTGGCTAGTTAGTCAAAATTCAGCAGCGGTATTGATGGGAGATTTGAATTCAAATTACATTGTTAACTCTCTTGTGAAAAAGGAAAGGGAAGAAAGAGCTTGAGAAAGGAAATAAAGATGTGTACTTGAGGACATGGTCCTCACTCTTCTTGTTCTAAACCTTGATGAGTCTCAAGTAATCTTTAAAATGGGTGACCGATTAACTGCGGCTTCAAAAGCTGGTGATGTAACGGCTTTGTATGAATTAATCGAGGAGGATGCCGATTTTTTAAGGCGTGTTGAGGAGATAATGTTTGTGCATACGCCTCTGCACATAGCAGCTTCTGATGGGCAGACTTGTTTTGCAATGGAAATGATTAATTTGATGCCATCGTTTAGCCGTAAGTTGAACAAATCTGGGTTTAGCCCAATGCATCTTGCACTTTTGAATGGGCATTCCAAGTTGTTGCTCTTGTTTCTACGTGCAGATTGTGATCTCGTTCGTGTTAAAGGCAGGGGAGGCATGACCTCTTTGCATTATGCATGTACGAAGCATGGAAATGATGATGTCCTCGCAAATTTTCTTGTTGCTTGTCCAAAATCTATTGAAGACTTGACAGCTCAAGGCGAGACTGCATTGCATATCGCTGTTAAAAGCAACAACTTGGGTGCTTTAGAAGTTTTGGTCCGATGGCTCCGAAGAGTTTGCCATGTAGAGGCTTTCAATTGGGAAATAAACATTCCTAATTGGAAAGATGAGAACGGCCATACTATATTGGATATTGCAGTATCTAATAATATGCAACTTGAGGCAAGTTCTCTTTTGTATGTATTCTTTCCTCTCACCTTAAAGCAACCGTCCAAGAGATTAAACTAGTAAATCAACAAAGATAAATAATCAAGTAAAAGTAGAAAACCAAGATTTAAACTAATAATTAAAAACCCTTAAGCCAGAGACTCAATATTTTCTCTGAGGAATTGGTGTTTTTGACTGATTTGCAGGTCCTTAAATTGTTAGCCGAGATAAATGCTAAAACATCTGATAGTCTGACAGTCTCAGACATCTTACGAAGGCGCCAATCCAACTTGGGAAGAAACAGAGTACTTAGAACTCAATGTGGTACTACTGATCCAGAGCAGAATGCTTCAACTCTTGCAAGTTATTTAAGGTCAAAATTATCTTTTGATGAAAGGTTAGCAGTCTACATCACTCGTCATAAGATGAAAATATCAGATGATGTGCGCAATATATTGCTGGTGGTGGCCGGGTTCATTACAGCATCAACCTTGCAAATTGTTGTCAATGACCCTGGTGGTTTTCAGAGGGATGTTGGGGACAGTGGCAACAACAATTCTGAAGCAACACCAGTACCATCACAGTCACACCTTTCAGACAGGGCTGCAATGACAGTATTCTTGCTGTCCTCATTGTACAACAATACGGCCTTTTGCATCGTGAATGGTGTAATTGGTCTTCTCCTTCCGGATGGCTTGTTCGGGATGATCCTGATTCGGCTACTGCCTGTCTCGATACTTTGCTATGTTTTGTGGATACAACGCAGCTTGCCAAACGGACTTGTCATATATAATTTGCTAGTTTTCCTTTTGGCCTACGTATTTGTATTCCTTGCTTTTGTTACTTATTCAAGGGGACAAAATAAACTTCGGCAACTTCAGAGCAATACAAATAACATTGCTTGTTCATATAGAAAAAGAAAAACTGAAGCAGCTGAAGGTCAAGCCAATAGTGCTACTAGCGCTGACCTAGATCCATAACTGTAGATTCGGATGATTGTGCAACGTGGGACATAAATGGCTTTGCGATTAATCTCTTAGCTTGATGTGTCTCCAGTCATCTAAATAGGTTGTTGAACAATGATTGAAATTTGGGTTTGATGCTAAGGAACAGTTGCGGGTTCATCAGATGTTTGAATGTTTTGTTAGTTTGTTTGTTTAGTTAAACGGCAAGTCATGGAGTCGTTTTTGATGATACTGAAAGTGTGTAACTAAACGATCAGCTTATGTGTTGCTTATGCATATAAGCTGAAACCCTTAAATGTTTGTCGTTTTTAGTAGTCTTCTTCCAGTGTCTGTTGTATTAGCTGTTGCTAGCTTCGATTGCTGTGCCTCTTTGTTAACTTTCAAGTCTTTTACCAAATCAGACTTTTGTGGGTTTAGTTAATCTGTTGTAACTGAGTTTATAAGCTTAGAATAGTATAAGAAATGTGTGTTTTTGAGCAGTTACTTCTTTCTCTCTCAGTTTCTTCTTCTTATTTTTCTTTTAGAAAATTAACTTTCCCTGTTCTTGATTTTTCTGAGATTTTGCAAAATAGGTAAATATGTATCAAGGACTGTATACATGATCTTTTGTGCATTAAAAGTTTGACCTCAAGTCATCAAAATAAAAAAAAAAAACTGCATTCAAATCTTGAGAAATACATGAACAATTCGTATAGTACATTTTAACCCTATCAATTCACTGAAAAATTGACCGCTGAATTATAGCGCATTGTAGGTGTCTCTCTGGGTTTATGCTGCCAAATCTATGTAAGAGCTCGGGGTCATGTCTCAATAGGTAAAACAAGCATGCTAACAGGTATAACAGTAGATAAAACAGCTTGTACCCAAAATATCCATCTGGGAGAAAGAAGACCAACCATAAAGGTTGTAAGATGAAGGACTGTGCTGTTGCACGATGAGAATTGAACGTATATTCTTTGACGTTGGACTCAAGTTGATGGCTGTGCTATTAATCACAGTAGTTGGGTTTTCGTTTTCCCGATGAATACTACCAGGGGTACTACGCACAGCAGGGAAGGTGGCTGCTATACTCAGCGCAGCGAGGCAGCGACCACTAAAGACGAAGCAAGCGAATCGTCGGTGAATGTTTTTTTTCTTTTGTCTTTATTGGGTCTTGCTGTGGTTGGGTTTGGCTGGCCTGGTGTTTAGGCCTCTCTAGGGCTCATTTCCTGTCATGCTTACGACTTTCAGCCCATCTTGGGCTTCCTCCTCTTTTGTTAGCCTCCTCACGGGCTTCATGCTTCCAGCCCAGCCCCCAAAAATTGTCTCTTCGGTGACCTTTTAGGTTTATAATGGTTGCTTACTTGCTTATGTTAATGTTAAGTTTTCTTCTTTAGTACTTATTTATATATCTGGCAATAACTGGGTTTTAATATGTTTTAATTTTTCATTATTTTTTATATTATTAATATTAGTATCATAATTTCTTTTTCATAAACAAAACATGTTTACCCATAGTAATGCATGGGAAATTCCACGAGTTTATAAATGCATTTGAGTAATGTAACAAGCACTAATACTAATATTTATTATCACATACATTACAATATTCTTTATTTAATTTTAATAATAATTTTATATAAATATAAATATTTTTAAAGTATAAATAACTAAAATTTTAAAATATTACTCTATAAATTATTCAATAATATTGTATAATTAAGAAAAATATTTTTCAATGGAAGTTCTTCAATTCTAATTCATATTTACAAATTCAATAGATGTTATTATATTTTTAATGATAACTTAAAAATACAATAAATAAATATAACCATTCTTGTCAATAACAAATTTTACTAACATTACATATATAATATTTTGGAGATGACATTAGCTGCTTCATTCTGAAATGAAAGTAAAATAAGTAAAGATAACTACTTTTATAAGCAGTACTTGTGCCTTAGAAGTTGCTCGGCATTCATTAAAATAATAATAAAAAATATCCTTTGTATTAGTTGGTGTTAATCTCAATTCTCAATAAAAGCGGATACGGAGAGAGAATGATTTGCTAAATGAAAAAGTGGAAATGACTTTTTCTTTTTTTTTTTTGGTTAAGTGACGTATGGTGACTGCAAGTTTCACGCCAAGATGTTTTAAAATGATATTTCCTGGAAAAAGTTTTAGTCAATATATTAGGATAATACTAATAAATCCATAGTGTTGGGTCATGGGTGCTCACCTCCTTCAATTTCACATGAGTCAGTAGTCGTTTGGGATATTTATTTTTGTTGGTCTCTTGACCGAACTCTGCTGACATTCTATGCCTTAGCCTACAAGCAATGCATGAAATATCGCCACCTGCGCTGCCAATTCTTGTTATAAGAAGGTAAGCACACTCGTAGTTGTAGATGTCAACATTGCTAATATAATCGCCAGCTTCATTCTTGTGAAAGTTCGCCCCATCATCACGCACTGCACAATGGATGAGCAGTTGCAGATTGCCGCAGAGAATGGAGATGTTGATGCATTGTATACTAGACTTGCCCAGGATCCATATCTTCTGGACCGTATTGATCGGATACCGATAGTTGATACTCCTTTGCACGTGGCTGCCAGGGCAGGGAAGCCCCACTTTGCCATGGAAGTTGCAAACTTGAAGCCATCACTTGCTTGGAAACTAAACCACGTGGGACTTAGTCCTTTTCATCTTGCTTTGCAGAATAAGTGCACATATATGGTGAGAGGACTAATCGCTACTGACAGTCAGCTAATCCGTGTCAAAGCAAAGGGGATGATTACACCTTTACACTATTTAGCCCAAACAGACGATGCTGATCTATTAGCTGAAATTTTATCTGCTTGTCCATCGTCTGTTGAGGACACCACAATTCACTGTGAGACTGCAGTGCATATCGCTGTGAAAAACTGCTCAATTGGAGCTTTCAAAGTCCTTCTGGGATGGCTTCGACGAATCGACAAAGAAGACATTCTGAACTGGAAGGATGAGGATGGTAACACTGCCCTGCATATTGCCACTTCTACTAATCTGACAGAGGTAAGCTTTATAGATGCTCATTTTTGCTACAAATGATTTCACAATATAACTATAGTTAACTGATAAAACTTTTATTTGATTGTGAAGGTCCTGAAGTTGTTGGTTAAGAATGTCAATGTGAATGTCAAGAACTTCAATGGTTTGACCGCTATGGATATATTCCACCTTCAAGGAACATTGCAGAACATAGAGATTGGTAAGACTCTACGCCGTGCTAAAGCAAAAAAAGCATCTGATCTTCCCCCAGATGTGACTCTTGGAGATTACTTGAGCAGGGAATTAACTCTGATTGAAAAACGGGACAAATATTTTGGTATTAATTCCCAAAAAAGTCCTAGTGATGTCCGAAGTGTAGTTCTTGTAGTTGCTATACTGATTGCAACAGCGACCTACCAGGCTGGACTTAGCCCTCCTGGCGGGTACTGGCAAGATGACTACAATCCATCAGCAAACAATGGAAGCAACAACAGCAACACGAGCCTTGGGCAGGGGCAAAGACAGCACCGTGCGGGGCAGATAATCATGGGGCCTCAGTATCTGTTCTATTTTTTCACTCTCAACAGTTGTGCTTTTTATTTGTCTGTGTGGACAATTCTCGTTGTTATAATTGGGCTCCCATATTCCGTAACTCTTTCTACATCTACATCTCTTCTCCTTTGTGCTTATTATTCTTCGCTGGATAGTACCTTTCCAACCCGGCAAAACTCCACGGCTTTCATCGTTGCGAGGGCTTTATACATATCTTTTATTTACTTATCTGCAGTACTGGTCTATTCAATTCCTTTGGCAGCATATCGTAAATATGAAAAGCTTAAACGCCGGGTGGATACAATTAGAGGAAGCAAGATACTTACCGGTCCTGGAACATGAAGAAGAGGAAACTATATGTATTTGTTATTTTGTTAGAGTTGATTTGAGTTTGGTATCAATTTAAGATTTTGTCCAAAAAAATAACATAGATACACTACTTATTTGGTTTGGAGTCTCGTTTAGCTTGACAAGAGTTCGGATGCCAGACGCTGAGTCTTGTTTAGCTTTCATTGCTAGTTTCTTTCTCTCATGATGTTTTATTAGTCATAGCAACTAGTCTGAACTCTGAAGTGTGTTCATTGGGTGGGAGCATGTAGGAGATATACTGCTCCACAAATATGTGAGACCCATAATTTAATACCACCGTGGTCGATATGTACAAAAATTGGGATAAATTGAATGCTATTTTGACCATCTCAATATCAAACACTCAACACACGCTTTAGTTCTGTAGAGTCCAGTTATTAATTCATAATTTGCAAAAAATTGAATTACTCAAGCACAAAATTATGTGGTATTAAGTTAACTTTGCAACAGGCAAAACAATTGGAAAGCGAGAACTACTGCTATTTCTAACTAAAATGACATGAAATATGATGATATTCAAATTTATTAATAACCTCTCTGTGTCGTTATAAGTATTAATATGCTGAAAGAACTAAAAGAAAATGATAATTTGAATGTCACTGAAGTTGGATTCTCCTTAAAGTATCTAATATCATGCGGATGTAATATTTTGTGCACCTACCTTGTTGCTAGTAGTTCTAGCACTATTTTTCCTAACTTTATTTGTTATAATTTTTTAGGACACTTGTTTGCGTCGTAAACAAGATGTTACAATTTTAAAGAGAGAGTTATAAATCTCACATCGACTATATATTAAAGTGATATTAGACATATAAAAGTTCATACTATCTTCAATTTATAAAATATTTTTGATAGGATAAAATCGTGAGATCAATAGGTTAAAGCGAACAATACCATGCAGAATAAAATCGATAGAAATTTAGTATGAATTCCGATTAAAGTACAACGAACTAAAACAAATAATATCTCATAGAAGTTGATATGCATTTTGATTAACCTGAACTCATTCTTGAGGAGGTTAATTGTTTCTTCTTGAGAGTGAAAGACATTATCCATTTTATTGATAACTGAATTTTCTTAAGCATCATATGTATATAAACATTTTGACATAAGAAATTTTGTCGTCTTTTCCGCTACGCTAGCCTTTTATTTTTAGTTTATTGCTAACGGGAAAGATGAGGAAACTAATTAGTAGTACATAAAACAAAGAGACCCCAATAAAAAAAACTGGGATAATAGTTAAATAAAAGATTCTTCCATATACTCTTTCTAGTTGGCAAGAAGAACCTCGGAGCAAACAAATATGAATACTAACCTGGTAGGGTCAACACCTCATGTTGGCAAGCATCAAGAAGATTCCACCAGCCTATTTGCCCTTGACATATTTTCTACTTTTGTTGGTTACCATTACCATAATCCCTCTTTTCAAATTTCTTTCTCAACCTTTTATTTTTAATTTTATTTCATATTCTCTCTCTTAACTAATCAATTAGTCAGCAATTAGTAAATCACTTTTAAAATTATTATTTTAACCTATAAAAGGATATAATACCTGTTTCGTAGTATTACATTTTTTTAAAAAATCCAATAATGTTGTTGCTTACCATTGAATTAGTATATAATTGGTGTCGAAGTGAGGCCTATGCAGATTAAAAAATCCATGTTGAGTGAAAAATAAAATAAAGTAATTATTCACGATTCTCGTAGGACAAGAGCTTCGTTTCTTGAGACCCATAAGGAAAAAATGGCAACCCATCTATTATGAATATTTATGATCAATAGAATATACATCACTACCGCTATTACAAACACCGGTGCCAATGGAGGATCGCCATCAAATGATGCATGGAAGAGCGTCATGGTAGCCAGAGCATTCACGGTCTTCTCTACTTACAACGGCTTGGTCCTTTGCGCTGTGATCTGTATTATTGGCCTTGAAACTTGCCTACGAGAGGCATTGACTGTACCAGGTATGTATTCTCCAAGGTTCTTCTTGCCAGCTAGAGAGAGAAGATGGAAGAATCTTTAATTTGACAATTACCCCAATTTTTTATTGAGGTTTCTTTGTGTTAAACTACTAAGTAGTTTCCTCATCTGTCCTATTATGATCATTAGCAATTAACTAAAAATGAAAGGGTAGCCTAGCGGGAAAGACAACAAAATTTCTTATGTCAAAAAGTTTATATATATCTGATGCTTAAGAAAATTCAATTATCAATAAAATGGATAATTTCTTGATTGAGGCCTCTGAAGAAGAAAAAATTAATACCTTGTATGAGTTGTTCAAGAATGATGCAGGTTTCTTAAAGCGAATTAATGAAACAATGTTTGAAGATACTCCACTGCACTTAGCAGCTTCAGATGGGGAAACCTGTTTCGCAGTGGAGGTGATGAATTTGATGCCATCATTTGCCCGAAAACTAAACAAAGATGGGCTTAGCCCTATGCATCTTGCTTTGTTGAAGGGGCATTCTGAGTTGGTGCTGTTACTACTACGTGCTGATCGTGATCTTGTTCGTGTCAAAGGAAGAGGAGGCATGACCCCTTTGCATTATGCAACTCACAATGGAAGCATCGATCTCTTGGCTGATTTTCTTGAGGCTTGTCCAAAGTCTATTGAAGATATGACTGTTCAGGGCGAGACTGTATTGCATATTGCTGTTAAAAACAACATGTTAGAGGCCCTCGAAGTTTTGGTGGGATGGCTTAAGAGAGTCTGCCATGAAGATGCCTTCAGTTGGAGGACAGACATTCTGAATTGGAGGGATAAGCAAGGCGACACTGTATTGGACATTGCAGTATCTAATATGCAAATTGAGGCAAGTTCTTATGCTTCTATCAAGATGTTAATTTTCAAACTAACGTTAAAACATCAATTAATAAGAAGAATACATACAACTGTCATGAAGACTTGTATGTTAGTATGATAATTTGGCACACTGATCAAATAGTGGGAAGAAAGTTGAGATAAAAACTAGCTTGAGTCATGTTTGTTTTTTGAATTAAGTGCTGGAAATTTATCATCTTTTGCTTTGTTGTGCTGGTTATATAATCTAGAAGGTAGTCTGCTCATGTAGTGTTGCTTTGTTCAGGTAGTGATGTTGAACTTAGTATATGTTTAACACTTGTCAGTTTAAGTACATGTGTTAGTCAAACGTGTAAGATATAATGTTGTATTCTCTCTTCACTTAATGAAGAAGCTCGATATTTACAAAGCTTATCTGCTTCTTAACTTTGTTTTGTTCTTGGCATTACTGTTCTTTTAACTCTTAATGCTTTGAACATTAACTTGATGTCATAACAGAACAAAGAATTTGTTTTTTCTTTTTTCTTGTCATCTCCAACAACTTCTACTTTGATGAATTGGCGTCGTTTTGGCCATGGTTTATGCAGGCAATCCAGTTATTATATGAAATAAATGCCAGGAATTCTAAAGGGAAAACAGCTTTGGGCACCCTGCAACACCAAACCAAAATGGATAGAAGAGTAGTACGTCAATTGCTACGCAAGACTCGGGTTTCAAAACCTCCATCGCCTAAAAGTACTAAAACTCTTGCGAAATACTTAAGGTCAAAGACAACATTTGATGAAAGACTAGCGGTATACATCACACGTCAGAGAATGAAAATTGCAGAGGATCTGCGCAATGCATTGCTGGTGGTTGCTGGGGTGATCGTTGCAGCCACTTTCCATGCTGTATTTAGTCCTCCTGGAAGTTTTCGGAAGGAAACTGCCAACCCAACTATTATGATCAATGGAACTTACAGCACTGTTACAGACGCCAGTGCCAGTGGAGAATCACCATCAAATGAAGCAGGAAAGAGTGTCATGGATAACGGAGCATTCATTGTCTTCTCTACTTTCAACACCTTTGTCATTTGCTCCGTAATCGGTATTCTTGGCCTTCTCCTCTCAGACGGCTTGATCGGGGGGAATATGATGTTGATGCTAATTTACTTGTTAGTCTGCTATGCTGTATCGCTATATGTCATATCACCAAGGTTGAATATTGCAGTTCCTGATCTGCTATTCTTGTCCTTGTTCATCGTGTTTCTATATACCATTCTCCTAATTCATTCACTAGGAAAGCGGAAGCTTCAGCAACTTAACTACGACGCAAACAAGTGCCCTAAAGAAGCTCTGGCAGATGAAGTTCAGGAGAGTGGTGCTAGGAATGCCAGTAACGACTCAAGTGCAAAAAATATTACATCCGCATGATATTGGATGTTTTAAAGAGAATCCGGTTTCAATGACATTTAAAATTATCTTTTTATTTTCATCAGATATCATTTCATTTTAATTAGACAAAATAGTACTTATTTCTCGCTTTCCAATTGTATTTTCCTGTTGCAAGGTCAATTTGATAAACTATAACTTTGTGCTTGAGTAATTCAATTTTTCTTTCAAACTAGGAATTTATGGCAGGACTCCGGAGAACTAAAGTGTGTGTACATTGTTTGATGCTGCAAATATTGAGATAGTCAAACAATCGCATCCAATTCGTCCCAAGTTTCGTACATATCTAACACAGTGGTATTAAATTATGGCTTTCGCATACTTGCGGAGTGGCATGTCCTACATGCCTCGACCCAATGAACAAACTTCAGAGCTCAGACTGGTTGCATTTATTGATAAACCATCATGAGAGAGAGAGAAAGAGAGCAAGTAGCAATGAAAGTTGGAAGGAGATCCGAACTCTTGCGAACTAGACAACTACAAACCAAATAAGTAATGTATCTATGTTATTTTTGGATAAAATCCTAAATTGATACCAAACTCAAATCAACTCTAAGGTAAATAATTAAAAAAACGAGTACTTATACCACGTGACACGACAGTTGATATAATTTCCTCTTCTTCATTTTCCAGGACAGGCAAGTACCCTGCTTCTTCTTATTGTATCCACCCGGCTTTTAAGCTTTTCATGTTTAAAATCGCTGCCAAAGGAATTGAATATGCCACTACTCCAGATATGTAAATTAAAGCTCTATAAAATGCCCTCGCAACCATGAAAGCCGTAGAGCTATTCCGGAATGGAAGGGTCCTATCCAGCGAAGAATAATAAATAGCAAGCATAAGGGAGAAGACATATGGATGTATACAGAGTTATGGAATATGGGAGCCCAATTAAAACAAGAAGAAATGTCCACGCAGACAAATAAAAAGCACAACTGAATAGATACTGAGGCCCATTGCTCATCTGCCCTGCACGGTGATGTCTTTGCCCTTGCCCAAGGCTCGTGTTGGTGTTGTTGGTTCCATTGTTTGCTGGTGGATTGTAGTCATCTTGCCAGTGTCCCCCCGGAGGGCTAAGTCTAGCCTGGTAGGTGGCTGTTGCAATCAGTATAGCCACCACAAGAACTAGCCTGGTAGGTGGCTGTTGCAATCAGTATAGCCGCCACAAGAACTACAGTAGGGACATCACTACGTTTTTAAAAGAAATTGATTCCAAAATATTTTGTGCCGTCTTTCAATCAGAGTTAATTCCCTGCCCAAGTAATCTCCAACAGTCACATTCGAGGGAAGATCAGATGCCTTCTTTGCGGTAGCACGACGCAGAATCGTACCAATCTCTACGTTCTGCATTGTTCCTTGAAGGTGAAATATGTCCATAGCAGTCAAACCATTGAAGTTCTTGACATTCACATCGACATTCTTAAATCAACAACTTCACGACCTTCACAATCAAATAAAGTTTGATCAGTCAACTATAATTATATTTTGAAATCATTTGCAGCAAACAATGAGCATGTATAAAGCTTACCTCTGTCAGATTAGTACATGTGGCAATATGCAGGGCAGTGTTACCGTCCTCATCCTTCCAGTTCAGAATGTCTTCTTTGTTGACTCGTCGAAGCCATCCCAGAATTACTTTGAAATCTCTAATTGAGCAGTTTTTCACAGCAATATGCACTGAAGTCTCACAGTGAATTGTGATGTCTTCAACATATGATGGGCAAGCATACAAAAGTTCAGCTAATAGATCAGCATCGTCTGTTAATCCCCTTTGCTTTGACTCGGATAAGTAGACTGTCGGTAGCGATTAATCCTCTCACCATCGGAGTGCACTTATGCTGCAAAGCAAGACGAATAGGACTAAGTCCTATGTGGTTTAGCTTCCAAGCAAGTGATGGCTTCAAGTTCGCAACTTCCATGGCAAAATGGGGCATCCCTACCTTGGCAGCCATGTGCAAAGGACTATCAACTATCGGAATCCGATCAATACGGTCCGGACGATATGGATCCTGGGCAAGTCTAGTATACAATGCCTCAACATCTCCATTCTTTCTTCTGGCCATTACACAGTTAAATCTTTTTGCAAGCAAAAACTCACAAATGGAAGGAGTAATGAAAGTGTGTGGAAGAGAATATGGTCGAATTTAACACCGTATCGAATTGAAGTGTTTTGTTGACAGATAATCCATGAAAAGGTGGCAGTCAAGTATGAATTACTACGAAGAGGATTAATTAATAATGAGGCAACTGGATGTGGCTTGTGTCACAAGGAGCAGGAGACTACAAGGCATTTATTTCTTCACTGTCCAGAAGTATGGAAGGTTTGGGCAAAATGGAGTGAAGATTGGGGAGCATGTTGGGTGGTCCCTAGTAATGTTATGAATTTTTCAACATATGGAATGAGGCGACAATAACAAAAGGGGAGAGACAGATTTGAAAAATGGCTTTCTATGCAGTTTCATGGTCTGTATGGCTGCAGAGGAATGAAGTTGTGTTCAAAGGCATAGCTTGGGATTCGAATCAGGCGTATGAAATTAGTAAACTGAGGGTAGCCATTTGGCCAAAGCGAAGTGGCCTATGAAGTATGGTGAGATTCTGGACACCTACAAGTTCCCCCAATTTGGAGCAAATTTAGTAAATGTGGGACATGGTAGGAAGGTTGAGGGGTGGTGCAAACCAGCTCAGGGGGAAATGAATTCAATGTTGATGGGGCAGCCAAAGGATGCCCAGGAGAGGCTAGGATTGGGGGAGCAATGAGGGATGAACATGGACATGTTAAGATCATTTTCTCGAAGGCTATAGGCATAGGGGATTCAAACCTTACTGAAATTAGAGCAATTCGGGAAGCTTTCTTGTTGTTTATTCCATCCAAATGGAATCAATTACACAGTTTGATAATTGAGAGTGACTCATGTAACGCTGTTAAATTGGTGAACAAACCTTTGGAAGCACCTTGGAGATTAAGAAAGTGGGTTCTCCATATTGAACGATTGAAAAATGATGTACGAAGATGGGAGGTGAGGCACACTTTTAGAGAGAATAACAAACTGGCCGATCGACTTGCAAAAGCTGGGTTAACGCACAGAGAACCTGGTGTCTGTGCTGGAATAGGCCTCCACTTTTGGTGCCATTGTTAAAAAGAAAAAGGAACCCAAGTAAGGTGAAGAAATCTCCTGTCAACTTTTCTACTCCGATTGGATCTTGGTTTTGATGATCAAGGGCTTCAAGGGTTCTTGAAGTCTCTTCTCTGTTTTTGGATCATTTTTGTTTTGTGGTCTTTGGGTATTGCTGTCACTGTTTGATGTTGTTTTTCTAAGAATTATGTCGTTGTTGTTTAGCCTCCTGTTTCCCTACTATTGTTTTTGATCTTAGGCAGGATAGAGTTTTTTTGTGAGGTTCTGATTGATAAGGACATGCTGCTGGGTTATGTAAACAGTGTGTGAACCTTTTTGTTCTGGCTTTTCTTGCCATACTGGTTTTCTTTCATACCAATGAAAGTCCGGATAATGGCCAATAAATTCCACTTTTCAAAAAAAAAAAAAAACATCTCCATTCTTTGCTTCAGCAACTGCTCATCCATTCTGCAGTGCGTGATAAGGCGAACGTTCGCAAGAATGAGCTGGCGACTACATGAGCAATGGTGATATATATAACTCGGAGGATGATTACCTTCTTATAACGAGTATTGGCAGCGCAGGTGGCGATATCTCATGCATTGCTTTTTGGCTAATGCATAAAATGTCAGCAGAGTTTGATCAAGCGATTAACAAATAAATATCCCCCAGGGAGCGACTGCTGACTGGGGTGAAATTGAAGGAGGTGAGCACAAATGACACAACGCTAATAATTTGTTAGCGTTATCCTAAGATACTGACTAAAATTTTTTCCGGGAAAAATTATTTTAAAAAATTCTTGGTGTGAAACAGGGAAAGGAGTTAACAAAAGGGACCGACAAATCAGATAAGAAAGATCCTACAAGAGGATGAACAACTCAATCAAAACCCAAGTATTACCTAATAAATAAATAAGTACTAAAATAGAAAACCAAATGTTAACAAACAATTATTAACCCAAAAGGTGACCAAAGAGCGAAGAGAAGGTGTTTTGGGCTAGACTCATGAAGCCCGCTCGCAAGCTACCGAAAGAGGAGATATCCCAAGATGGGCTGAACGTTATAAGCATTACAGGAAAGGAGCCCAAGAATGGCCTGAACACCAGGCCAACCAAACCAAACCTCAGCAACTCGGGGCTAACCCGAACCATTTCCAGATTTTCGAATCGGATATGATCCGGATATCACTTCCCACTCTTCTTCTTTGTTACGACTATTCGCTAACTCCCTTCCGAAACGCAGCTGTTCTTCGAAGGCACATAGCCACCAATGGAGGTTGCAACCGCAGCAACATCAAGCTTCGCACTCCATGCGCACATGTTATCACCACCAACCTCTGCACGAACGGTAAACCCTTATCGAACCCTAACCTCTCATCCGTCAACTTCTCTCAGAGCTTCTCTCTCAACCAACTTCCTTTCTCCGTTTCCCGCCACCGGAAGCGTCGCCGGAGATTTCTCCGGTCTCAAGCTACGACCTGAATCTCTCAACCCGGCCTCCCTCTCCCGATCCAAGCCTAAACGAGGTGTCGTCACCATGGTACACGTTAAATTATTTGACTTTTAATCAAAATTTCTTTACTTTAGTTCTCTAGGACTTTCAAATGTTTATTAATAGTGTTAGCGGTTAGAAAGTAGGCAATTTTATTTTATAAGAATGCTGAACTAGTAACGTTAATACTAATCTTAATTCTTAATTCAAATTTGAGTATCATATCACAAAGTTGAATTGCCGTATCTAGGTCTAGATTATTGCAAAGTAAATGCATTATGCCGGCGTTTGCCCGGAATTTTGTGGATAGGTTATTCCTTTTTCGAGGGGAAGTGCATGGGAGCAACCTCCACCGGACTTAGCATCGTATTTGTACAAGAACCGCATAGTTTACTTGGGAATGTCGCTTGTTCCTTCTGTCACAGAGTTGATACTGGCTGAGTTTCTTTACCTTCAGTATGAAGATGCGGAGAAGCCTATCTACTTGTACATAAACTCCACTGGAACAACCAAGGTATGATTTTCTTATCACAGAAGTTGAAAGCCATGTTCTGGAGGCATAAATGTAGTTTTTTGCTGTGATTATTGTCATCATAATTAGAATTGGATGCTAAATGAAAGATAAAAATGCTAAATTTTGTTTAGAAAGTATTTTGAACCAGTCTTATTTCAGTTTTTTTTCTGATAGAGTTAAAATGTATTGCATGTGTGCTTAGTAAGTAAAAATATTTATTCTCTTTTACCTTTTCTTTTGCATTATTAAGGTACTTAAAAGAGGAAATCAGATGTTGTGTTAGTTTGCTCCCTTTTCAATACTGTTAATAGGATTGTTCACCTTTTTCAGGGTGGCGAGAAGTTGGGTTACGAGACTGAGGCTTTTGCAATCTATGACGTTATGGGGTCATTCCTCTTTCCACTTTTTAACTCATGCTGTATTTCACAATTTACTTGTCTTATGAGCTGCACGTTATTTGCATTTATTAAACATTGAAATATCAAAATTCTTTTCCCTCGCTTCAGGGTGGTAGTTTCACCTAGATGTCAAAACCCAGCAGCATCAACGACTCTTAAATAGTGAATGCATCATTCTTTGTGAATGATATGTTCTTTGAGTCATGATGACGCCTAGTTACATGAAGTTTTTCTACTTCCTAGACACTTAGATACTACTTGCCTGGAAAATTTTCTGAATGTATAATGTTCTATGAGCCTCTGCACACCCTTATCCTTCCAGAAGAGCTTCCAAGCTTTATTTTCTGTTTTGGATACTTTCTTTCACTGCAGGTATGTGAAGCCTCCTATTTTTACTCTCTGTGTTGGTAATGCTTGGGGAGAAGCTGCATTACTTTTAGCTGCCGGTGCAACAGGAAATCGTTCTGCTCTTCCTTCATCTACGATAATGATAAGGCAGGTTGGTTGTTGGACAGTGGATCTCTGATGCTCTAAACTATGAAATTCTTTTACGATGTCACTTGAACTTTGACATGTTTAACATGAATGTTTAATATTTATTATTTTTATCTCTACCAATCTGCAGCCCATTGCAAAATTTCAAGGTCAAGCAACAGATGTTGACCTTGCAAGAAAGGAAGTAAAGAATGTGAAAACAGAGTTGGTAAGAAAATGATCTGCTTAGTTAGGGAGTCTGATTTCTGATTATACACCAAGCTTACATTGAAAACACCATGATCCTACTTAAACAGCTTTGTATTTGCTTGGTCTTCTATGACTAACCTGCATACTGCAGACTGTACACATTTGTTTATAAATTTACTTATTTAGCATTAAAGCTGACTTTGCAAACTTTTCTGTTGGATGTGCATCCAAATATGGGCTAATATAACTGCATATTTGTGATATGAATTATACTCAAGGTTAAACTTTATGCAAAACACATTGGAAAGTCAACTGAGCAGATTGAAGCAGATATCAGGCGCCCAAAATATTTTAGCCCCAGTGAGGCTGTTGAATATGGCATCATAGATAAGGTTCTTTTACCTGAAGGAGTTTTATATTTTCTACTAGTTTTCATGCATTGCTATACTATATTTTTCTAATATATTCTGCAGGTATTATACAATGAAAGGGGTGCTGAAGACCGCGGTGTTGTTTCTGACCTGAAAAAGGCACAACTTATCTGACCATAAGAGACTTATACTTTGTGACTGTTAAAACTGTTCAGGTAAACCGTGTGTTTTCTCTTGAATTGTATGATTGATTACATTGCATTTTATATATTGTAGATATTTTTTTTCAATAGTTCTTCAGTAGTTTTTTTGTTCCACAATGTTGATGGAACTTAAATGTAGGGTATACTTGCTACCACAGGATCCAATTAATCGCTTGTCTGTTGAAGCATGGATTATTTAGAAAGTATTGATATTTTGATGCATTTTGACTCTTCACGTGGCTTCTAGTGTTTTATATATGTTACGAAGCAATGTACCGTGATGTACTAGTGTTTTATATATGTCACCAAGCAGTGTACCATGATGTAGCTGGGTGTTCGTTATTTTGTGTGAAATCTCCACCTCTCGAATGAAATGATTAAAGTAATATCCTGTTTCTTGATGTATAATGGCTTTTATTGGTAATTGATCTACTGTGGAGGATGAAAGAGGAATAAACCTTTATAGATGTGTTATGCCTTTATTGAACATTAGCTCTTCAATCTCTATCGTATGCCCCTCTCTCCACTTCCCAACCAACAATGGTTTTAGGTTCTGCCTGTAACTAGTACATTCCTCTACAAGTGTGTTCTGGAATAGAAAAGTATTTGCTTGTTTGTTTTATGGTCTCACCACCCTGCCATCATTGCTCTTTCTGTCCACCCTAAAATCTGCAACGAGAGACACTTGGAAGCTATTGTTGTTTGTTTGACTCTGTATTCATTTGCTTTACACCTTGCATTTGCTTTTTGTTCTTCTGTTAAGTTTTCTGGGGTTTGAGAATGACCAAAGAGGAATATTAGATAGTGGTGTTCGTTGTTGCAAAAAATAATCCGTGTAGCTCACTTATTACATTACCTTTTGCAACTCCCTTCATCCTAATCATCACAAATGTTGGAAGGAGATTCTAGGTCGAAAATGGATTTTGGATATGGATGATTGATGTATGTTGGTCCCAATTCTCGACAATACCTATTCCATTATTTGCTCCAAGTGGCAAGGCTTGTTAATGGAGAGTGATCTCATTATTTAAGCCAATAAAAGTGGTGGTCACTATCTCTCTCTCTCTCTCTCTTGCCTATCTTTCTGAAATGTGGACGTATCAATCTAATTTGAACTTAGTAGTAATACGTGTTTAGAGAGATCCAATATTTTGTCAAAATTTTATTTTAATTTATAATATATTTTCTAGCTTCTCATATATGTTGTTTGCTGCAACAGTATTAGCTTGAGTTGAAGGATGACAAGAGAAGCTGAGCACAGTGTGTACTTTGTTCGGGGAGCAGAGGCATGGGAATGAGAAGCATAGCCGAGGAGATGCGGTCTCAGCACGTGTATCAGTCTCATTTATAGCACAAAGTGTATCTTGCGATCAATAAATTCTAGTATTTTATTTGTTTAAACTCCAATTAATTGCAATTAAAATTTTGTTTTTTTTTTCTTTTTTTGTCATTTTCATCCTTTCTTCTCCTCTTCTTTCCCCATGTTTGCTTCCTGTACTTGTTACTTTAGTACCTAAGTGTATTCACATTGAAGCCATGATTAGCAGCTGCTCCTACCTACTATGTTTCTTGCTCATTCTTTTTCCCATGGTATTTACAACCCAATGTGCAGTACAATCACCAAATGGAAGACCAGGAAGAAGAGCCACCAACCCACTTCACAAATAAAATACTTCTGGAATTTATGCGCACTTATCCTATAGACGAATCACTCTTGTGCTCTTGTTTCCTACACATGCCGACATCAATACAAACGTGCCAAGACTTAAAAAAAATGGGAAATTCAAGACCAATTTGCTATGCAATACCTGCAAAACAGAAAAAAAAAAAAATAGTGCTCTCACCCCTAATTTTTGAAGTATTATCTTAAAATTGTCCACCACCAATGACAGTTCTGAAGAGCTTTGCTTTGTTCTTACTGGTTTGACAGTCGTGGTAGTGCGTTACAACCCACCAAAGTGATGGCTTTTCGCTGGTTAACGCCGCTGTTACTATATTTAGTACATGGCTTTTCCCTTCTTCCCAGTCAACAAAACCTATCAGCTTATTAAAGATGATGCGTGCTGGTTCAAATTTGATAAACCAGAGTTCGTGTTGGTGGGATTTTTGCAATTAGTTTTTAATTTTTGATTAAAAACAAGCAATTCTTTCGCAAGTAACTATTACGTAAATAATTATCATAAATTTTAAGTTCGTCAAAATGAAAATATTTTAAAATTTTAAAAGTTGAATTCTAAATCCAGCTAAATATTCAAAAATATATAAACTTAAACGTGAGAAAATCAAAACTTTTGTTTTTCAAAAATGTTAAATTGTTTTTCAATAATTAATGAGGTAAGAAAAATATCTCCAATGCATTGGAACTTCAGGTTTTAAATTAAAGGTGTAAATTAGTAATACTTCCTATGGTTTGAAACAACTTAACTATGTTTTTTTTATAGTGAATGATTGAAAAGAAAAGAAATGAAAAGCCTACTTTTCTAACAAGTGCTCGATTCCTATTCAATTTGGTTCATACTTTTTATTGTTTTAAATTCAGTTTAACTTTGTTTGTTATCTGTTTTCCATCCATCTGGTTCTTTATCTCAAATTCTTCAAGCTGAGGTCTTCTTCATTTGATGCAATATCTAAGACTCTGACGCCTCAAGCTTTTAAAAAGGAATACAAAATGAAAACTTGATAGGTGAGGGATGCGGAGATATTGAGCAAAAAGAATGCAAAAAATCTGCTTCTCTAGTCTTAATTCTTTAATGCTTCAAACCCAATAGCATAAAAAAATCAAGTTAGTACCAAAAGTAGAGTAATAAGTCACGCGTAAACTTTCAGAATCGACCCTGGAGATACACGAAGCAACCAAAAAGTGAAGGGAATGTTGACAAAAGTTAGGCAGAACATTTGTCAATAGAATACATATCCAGATTCAAAGAAGGGTCTTAAGGTGGTCATGAACGGGGTCTACACACACGTATACACATCATTCATCTTAATCCTACCGCCTTAAGACCCTTTTTTGGACTCCCTACTCCTAATTAGTGGAAGAAAAGAAGAAAAAGGTGTAGCAATTTGCTCAACCGCAGCCTCTTGCCTTCTGCTATAAATATGGGATTCTGGTTTCTTAGCTTCCCATCCCTCACAAGCTCATCCAGCTTCTCTCCTCTCTATTTTCTAAGTTATCTTTCTCTTGTCTTGGTTACATTATTCTCTTTGGTACTGCTATAAACTTGGTAGCAGAAACATGGGGTTCTCATTAAAATTTCATTACTGCCTTGTGTCTGTCATGGTGCTCTTGCCTGCACTGTGTTACTCTCAGGACTATTTCGTCCGGTCCAGAGCAACTTACTATGGCAGTCCTGACTGCTTAGGGACTCCTAGTATGTACATTTCTCCTATGATACATGCATGCCTATTTATTTATTACTATTACAGTTCACAAGTGGATATACTTCTCACGGTCAATATTGACCGTGATTTTAAACCTTCAAATTCACTTAAGGGTGTTCATCATGAGCTAACAATTATGTGAATTCAGGTGGAGCTTGCGGGTTCGGAGAATACGGAAGGAGTGTCAATGATGCGAACGTGGCTGGGGTTTCCAGGCTCTACAAGAATGGAACTGGCTGCGGTGCTTGCTATCAGGTAAAACTTCAAGCCCCTTAATCATTTCGGATCTGAAAGCGACAGGCAAAGCAAGGACGAAGCTACCAAAGTGATGAGTTCGACAGAAATTCCCGCACGAATAAACTATTTCCCGCAAAAACCTTTAGAATAGTATAAATTTTTCACTTGCTAAAAGTATTTCTAGTGTTCAACATGTGCCCCTACTGCCTAAAACTAATTAAAAGTTTTCATTATCATTGGTTGCTTTGGCACTGATCTATAACACAAGTTGCTTCTTATTTTATGTTGCTAGCTAATCCATGACGCTTGCTTTTGCTTAATTAAACAAACTCAGGTTAGGTGCACGAACCCTCAACTATGTGATGATAATGGGGTGAACATTGTTGTGACTGACTATGGCGAAGGAGACCACACCGATTTCATCCTGAACCCCCGTGCCTACGCAAGGATGGCACGATCAAACACCGCCGCGCAGCTGTTTGCTTATGGCGTAGTTGACGTGGAATACCAGAGAATCCCTTGCCGCTACGGTGGTAACAAGCTCCAGTTGAAGGTTCATGAACACAGCAGATACCCAAGCTACTTGGCCATCGTAATCTTGTACCAAGCTGGCAAAAACGAAATCCAAGCCATTGAAATTTGGCAGGTAAATTATACTTTTTTATCACAAACTTTTTACTCCTTGAAGTACCGAAATCGTACATATTGTTACATAATTATATGCATTTGGTGTGAGCAGGAGGATTGTAAGCAATGGATAGGAATGAGGAGAGCGTATGGGGCAGTTTTCGACATGGCTAATCCGCCACAGGGGTCTATCAGCTTGAGGTTCCAAGTGAGTGGCAGCGCCGGTTTGACATGGGTCCAGGCACCAAATGTTATCCCCAGCAATTGGAAAGCTGGAGTTGCATATGAATCAGATATTCAGCTTGAGTAAAGTAGGAAATTTCAAAAGGAAAAAATCAAACTACTTGTTTTAATTCCCTGATTATATAGTTGCTTTATGATGTTACTAGTAAGACAGCAAAGTGCTTAGAACTTTGCCCCGCGCTCGATAAAATAAAAAGTTGTTATATGTACTTCAGCTTCTCGAATCAATAAAGTTACACCGTTGAAGATATTTTTCTTTACACTGATTTTATTATCTTGACGACGACGTCGTAATATTTTATTTTTATTATTTTTTGTAATCATTAATTAAAAAAATACTACATTTCAAATCCAAATCTTTACTTTTATATATTTAATTAAATCATTTCAATCTCAATCTCATTCACCTTTATCACTCAACTAATCTCTAAATTATTTAAAAGTTTATTTATTATTATATTCAATCAAATCTTTATATATTTCTTTTTTAAATTCAATAAACTTTGAATCATATTTTTATTTTAAATCAAATAAAATTCTATGACTAATAATTAATTAATTATTATTAATTAAAATATCACTTATCATTATATTTTACATGATATTAATATGACATATTAACGCATTATAATAAATGATTTACATAATTTGTTAATATGATATGATACACAATTATATAATATTTTTAACTTTTCATGTTAACACCATATGAGTATAAAATAATAAATAATATTATAAATAATTACAATTAATCAACTATTAATCTTAAAACCTTAACATAACTTCATTAAAAGCAATAAAAAATAAACATTTATTTAAATTCTCTTAAATAATTTTTTTTTAAAATTATTTCAAGTATATATGACTTTCTTTCGTAATAAAACGGATTGTTTATGTCACTGAATTACGTGTTTCCAGCTGCAAAATTATTCTTACTTCTCATCAGCTACTTATAGATGAAACATGCTTTTCCACATCAGGATGTTCACTGAAACTGTTTCAAAACATAAAATGGGCATGTAAGATGATAGGTGATGAACTAAGCGAAGTTTGAAGAAGCTCCCCAAAATTTAGAAAAATATGAGAAGCATTAACTTGTTTCAACTTCTTAAAGAATTCAATATAACAAGGCAATCGAAAGCTCAGAAGTTACAAATATGATTTAATGTTCAAGGTGGAAAACATATTCCGTCAGGCACTGCAATTTGCCAGGATCTAATTTCTGCTCTCTCACAATAGCCTGCTTCTTCACAGTTAGCATTTGAGAAGCAGGATCGACTGTCCAACCTTGCCGTAGTACATCTGCATGTGAAACATCCAAAATCAACAACATTGCTAAATACAACCAACATTGTTGTATCAACAACCCTAAAGAAATCGTGAATAGTACAGCACACACTAATTTAAGTAGACAACTCTATTAACAAAACAGAAAGTGGAACATTCAGCTCAAAAAAGGGTTAACAGTAAGAGCCAGTTTGGCAAGCCTATAAACTGCAAAATTCCATGTTTTTTCAATGGGAATTTAGCTTTGTATGGCCATCAATCTTGTTCCATAAAACCAGGAACTATATAAGAAATTGAAAAAGTAGCTTTCCTTTGCCAAACTTGTTGACAGTCTCGAGATTTATACATTTTGCGTGTACAGGGCACAAATGTTCAAATATCTGGAAAGGCAGAGGACTAGAGGTTTCAAAGTCAAGAAATGTAGACTCTACTCAAACCATAAGCAGCAAAAAGTTCAACATTGATTCACTGATTATAGATATAAACCAGACATGTCTCCAGCTTGCAATCAGGCAGTTAAACATCTATAAAGGAGACTTCATTGATTCAGAATATGATACATCCATCTGATTTCATATATTTATGTTTATACTATAAAGAGTCACATGGTCACAAAAAAAGCTTATCACAAACATCTATAAGCAAATAAAATAATAGAATATTCACAGCACAAACATAACAAGGAATGTGTGTACTTACAATTTGTGGCATCATCCTCACTCATTCCAAGAAATTGAGCTGCATCTTGGATGCTTATCGTTGAATAAGCAGATAGCAGCAGTCCAAACATCCTCTTAGTGTAAAGCTCTACAAAATAGACAGCAAATAAATGAAATAATGACCACAACTGCTATATTGCCTAAATCTTTTACATTCTCTAATATTGAGTCTTACTTAATTTTTACATGTTTTCACTCCTTCAATTTCAATGCATCTCAGTCAAAATAAGCAATTCAACTATCATTGCTTCTGTACTGAACCATAATGTTTCAATTAGCTATTACTTTTTATAATTAGCTCCTTTTTTTGTCCTTTTATTTATTTAATTCAGGTTTCATTTTTTAACATATATTTGATTATCTATCTAATAACACTTAAAGTATTGTAAAATGCTATGATAGAGAAAGCATGCCTGAGAAAGAAGCAACAAGAACTTGTGTTTCTTGACTCCAATCAAAGCCACGAATTGCGTCATAGACACCAGCATGGTCCCTTGTCCACAGCTTCTGACCTATTTTCCAGGCTGCAACCAACTCCGGTTGGCTCTCCTTGATTGCTGCAGGTATTGATTTCCAAAGAAACCTTGCACTATTACTGCAAAACCATTCCCTTCAAACATCAAATCCCAAACTAAACAAATGTAAACGAAAACAACATTTACTCCCAAAAAAAGCATTTCCTATAATCACATATAATCCAATACATATAACTTATTAATTCAAAAGAATAAAGAAAGAAAGAATAAATGGGACTTACATATCATCAACGTAGATGTGGCCGAGAAGATGAATTGCGAAAGGCCATTCGTCTTGGAAAGCAACGCCCTCCGCTGCCACCTGATTATTATTTTTTTATAAATTCGAATTAGGGTTTCGATAGGGTTTTGGGAATTCTAAAGGAAAACACTTGAACTATCTAAAAATTAGATGAACCATCACACACACAAAAAAAAAAAGGAAAATAAAAGATCAAAAGGAGTGAAAAGAGAGAAAGTACCTGAAGCATGAGATTGTCGCATATATCAGCGATCCTGTCGAAGGATTTGGAAGCCAATGCTCCATTCAGAACACTAAAATCCATATCTTCTTCTCTTCTGCTTTTACTCGTTCGATTTTCTTCTCCTCTGCTACTACTCTGTCAGATCGTTTTCCATGGGAGGTTTTCTTCTTGCTTCATTTTTGTCCCTCCTAAGCCCTATTTCATGGGCCGAAAAATTAAAGCCTATTTAAATGCGCCGAGTCTAAAGATCCAACCTTGAAAAGCCCAATCTTTGTCCACATGAAATTCAACGTGGATGAGCCTGCCCAAAGTGTCCCGTTAGTTCCGGTATTGAGAGCGTCTTGACTCTTGAGGGTTGATACAGGGACGTCAAAATCGTGTTCTCTAAAGGTTAAGGGTGGAGGACTCTAACCCAGCAGAAATAAGGGCCATTAGAGAAGTTTTTATTGGGTTTATTGCGATCAAATGGTGCCATAGGCTGGTTATTGAGAGCCATTCAATGAATGCTGTCAAATGGGTGAACAATCCAGCGGAAGCTCCTTGGAGATTTAGAAAATGTACAGAGAGGTATTCAAAATGGGATGCTAACAATGTCTTTAAGGAAAACAATCAAATGGCTGATAATCTCGCGTCTCATTAGCATTATGTAGTAGTAGGGGTAGTCAGGGGTTTCTTGAGGTTCGGGTTTGGGGTACTGGTTGGGCCAGGAGGTAGGGTTTGAAGCTCGATGTGCATGTTTTTCAATGGATCTTTTGTGGCTTGTTGCCGTTCTTCACCCTGACTTAAGAGTCAGTTTTGTGTTTACGTGTCCTGCTGTGTGCAACGGTGAATAGGTGCTTTGTGAGTTCTAGGGGGGATTTTTGATAATCACAAAAATAGGGATAGGGATTTTCTTTTGTAAACGTTGGGAGATGGATGGAGTTTTTTTTTATTTTTTTTGTATTTTTCGATTGGTTAAGTGGTTTGAGATTAATATGTGTTTCTTGCTAACACATTGAAGTCTCAAACCACCTTTGTATTATTTTGGGAGCCATGTTTCCCTTTCTATTAATGAAATCACCTTTCAAAAAAAAAAAAAACAAATGTTAGAAGGAGATTCTAAGTCGAAAATGGATTTTGGATAGAGATGATTGATGTATTTTGGTCCCAATTCTCAACAGTGTCTATTCCATTCCATTATTTGTTCCAAGTGCCAAGGCTTGTTAATGGAGAGTGATCTCATTATTTAAGCCAATAAAGGTGGTGGTCACTTCCTCTCTCTTTCTCTCAAATTTTTTATGCCTATCTTTCTGAAATGTGAAAGTATCAATCTAAATTGAACCTAGTAGTAATACGTGTTTAGGGAGATCCAATTTTTTGTCAAAATTTTATTTTAATTTATAAAATTATTTTATAGCTTCTCTGATATGTTGTTTGCTGCAACAGTTGAAGGATGACTAGAGAAGCTGAGAACAGTGCGTACTTTGTTCGGGGAGCAAAGGCATGGGAATGAGAATTATAGTCAAGGATATGCTTTCCTAGCACCTGTATCAGTCTCATTTGGAGCACAAAGTGTATCTTGTGATCAATAACTTCTAGTGTTTTATTTGTTTAAACTCCAATTAATTGGAATTAAAATTTTGTTTTTTGTTGTTTTCATTTTCTTCCTTTTTTCTTCTCTTCTTTCCCCATGTTCGCTTCCTGCTTGCTACTTTACTACTTAAGTCTATTCACATTAAAGCCATGATTCAATAGTTAATTGATGACCAGAGTTATAAAGCCATGATTAGCAGCTACTGCTAGCCTACTATATTTCTTTCTCAATCTTTTTTCCATGGTATTTACAACCCAATGTGCCGTACAATCACCAAATGGAAGACCAACAAGAAGAGCCACTACCCACTTCAGAAAAAAAATACTACTGGAATTTATGCACACCTATCCTACAGAAAAATCACACTTGCACTCTTGCTTACCACACATGCCGACATCAATACAAACGTGCCAACAGTTCAAAAAAAAAAAAGGGAAATTCAAGACCAATTTGCTATATAAAACCTGCAAAACAGAAAAATTAAGTGTGATCTCAAGTCTTAAAATTTTCCACCACCAGTGACACTTGTGAAGAGCTTAGTTTTGTTCTTACTGGTTTGACAGTCTTGATAGTGCGTTACAACCCACCAAAGTGATGGCATTTTGTGGATTGATGCAGCTCTTACTATTTAGTCGTGTTGATGGGATTTTTCCAAATAGCTTTTGGTTTTTGACTAAAAACAAGCAACTCTTTCATAAGTAACTGTTACATGAATAATCAATTTAAGAGGAAGTTTCAAGTTTGTCAAATAAATATATTCTAAGGCTTGAAGGTTTGAATTTTAAATTCAGCTAAACATCCGGAAACATATAAACTTAAACATGAAAAAATCAGAATTTTTGTTTTTTCAAAAATGACAAACTGTTTTTTAATATTTAATAAGGAAAGAAAAAGATATTCAGTGCTTTGGAACTATAGGTTTTGAAGGTGTATATGATTATTAGTTTCTGTAGCTCGAAACAACTTAACCATGTTTATGTTGTGATGAATTTTTTTATAACAAGAACAGAGGAAATATAAGGCAAGAAAAACAGAACCTTATCAATCAAAAACTTTCAAAAGCCTCCTTTTTTACCATGAAAGGAATGAAAAGCCTACTTTTGTAACAAGTGCTCGATTCCTATTCAATTTGGTGCATACTTTTTATTGTTTTAAGTTAGTTTAACTTTGTTTGTTATCTGTTTTCCATCCAGCTGATTCTTTATCTCATATTCTTCATGCTGAGATCTTCGTCAATTGATGCAATATCTAAGACTCATACGCCTCAAGCTCTCAAGAGGAATAGAAATTGAAAACTGCTTTCTCTTGATCGGTGAGGGATGAGGAGATATTTAGAAAAAAGAATAAAAAAATCTGCTTCTCTAGTCCTAATTCTTTAATGCTTCAAACCCAATAGCATAAAAAAAATGACGTTAGTACCAAAAGTAGAGTAATAATTCACGCATAAACTTTCAGAATCGACCCTGGAGATACACGAAGCTACCAAAAAGTGAAGGGAATGCTGACAAAAGTTAGGCAGTAACATTTGTCAACAGAACACATATCCTGATTCAAAGAAGGGTCTTAAGGGGGTCAAGAACGAGGTCTACGCATACATATACACATCATTCATCTTAATCCTATCGCCTTGGGACCCTTTTTTCGGACTGCCTACTCCTAATTAGTGGAAGATAAGGAAAAAAAGGTGTAGAAATTTGCTCAACAGCAGCCTCTTGCCCTCTGCTATAAATATGGGATTCTGATTTCTTAGCTTCCCATCTCTCACAAGCTCATCCAACTTCTCTCCTCTCTATTTTCTAAGTTATCTTTCTCTTCTCTTGGTTGCATTATTCTCTTTGGTACTGCTATAAACTTGGTAGCAGAAACATGGGGTTCTCAGTAAAATTTCGTTATTGTTTTGTGTCTGTCGTGGTGCTCTTGCCTGCACTGTGTCTGTGTTACTCTCAGGACTATTTCGGCCGGTCCAGAGCAACTTACTATGGCAGTCCTCACTGCTTAGGGACTCCTAGTATGTACATTTCTCCTATGATACGTGCATGTTTATTTATTTAGTAGTATTTAGTAGTCATATTAAGTGTCATCGTCAGGATTTTTAAAATTAACAAGTGGATATACTTATTCTCGCGGTCATTGACTGTGATTTTAAATCTTACTGCTTATGCAATGTTCATATGTCACACATGAGCTAACAATCATCTGAATTTAGGTGGAGCTTGTGGGTTTGGAGAATACGGTAGGACTGTCAACGATGCGAACGTGGTTGGGGTTTCCAGGCTCTACAAGAATGGAGCTGGCTGCGGTGCTTGCTATCAGGTAAAACTTCAAGCCCCTTAATTATTTCAGCTCTGAAAGCGATCACAGGTCAAGCATGGAGTTATGGGTTCGGCGGAAACTAACGCAAAATCAAACTAGTTTCCACTCAACCTTTAGAATAGTATAGTGTTTCTAGTGTTAAACATGTGCCCCTACCGCTTAAAACTAATTAAAAGTTTTCATTATCATTAGTTGCTTTGGCACTGATCTATAAACACAAGCTGCTTCTTTTTTTACGTTGCTAGCTAGCCCATGACGCTTGCTTTTGCTTAATTAAACAAACTCAGGTTAGGTGCACGAACCCTCAAACTGTGTGATGATATGGGGTGAACGTTGTGGTGACTGACTATGGCGAAGGAGACCACCGATTTCATCCTGAGCCCCCGTGCCTACACAAGGATGGCAAGATCAAACACTGCCGCGCAGCTGTTTGCTTATGGCGTAGTTGACGTGGAATTCCAGAGAATCCCCTGCCGCTACGGTGGCACAAGCTCCAGTTCAAGGTTCATGAAAACAGTAGATACCCAAGCTACTTGGCCATCGTAATCTTGTACCAAACAGGCAAAAACGAAATCCAAGCCGTTGAAATTTGGCAGGTAAATTTTACTTATTTATCACAAACTTTTTACTCCTTGAAGTACCGACATCGTACATATTGTTACGTAATTATGCATTTGGTGTGTGAGCAGGAGATTTGAAGGAATGGATAGGAAAGAGGAGGGCGTATGGGGCAGTTTTCGACATGGCTAATCCGCCACAGGAGGCTGTCAGCTTGAGGTTGCAAGTGAGTGGCAGCGCGGGCTTGACATGGGTGCAGGCACCCAACGTTATCCCCTGCGATTGGAAAGCTGGAGTTGCGTATGAATCAGATATTCAGCTTGAGTAAAGTGCGTCAGGATTGCGCTTCTAGAAACAAATAAGTAGACGTAGTTGGTTTTATGATGTCACTAGTAAGACAGCAAAGTGCTTAAAACTTTGCCTTGCGCTCGATAAAATAAAGAGTTGGCTATGTGTGCCGTTGCTCATGTATTTTTTATTTTATTTTTTTTTAAGATTAATCATCATAGACTTTCATTCAAACTGGGATGAACCCAGTAAAAAAGGAACATGACGGTCAAGAGTTAGAGAGAACCAAGTAACACTATACAAGCAACAAAGAATTGCACCCACCCCCCCCCCCCCAATCAATCTCATCGTAACCAAGAAAGAACTAGCAAAGGGCATCAGTAAGATCAGGAAACAGGACCAAAGACACTGTTCCCTATTCTTGCTGATCACAAAATCCATTCATGCCAGTCTACCATCACGCTATGACCATCAGACCTGATACAGAACATCAAAAGGTACCTGAAGCATGAGATTGTCGCATATATCAGCAATCTTATCGAAGGACTTGGAAGCAAATGCTTCATTCAAAACACTAAAATCCATCTCTGCTTCTCTTCTCCTTTTACTCTTTCGATTTTCCTCTCTTCTACTATTACTCTGTTAAATCGTTTCTTTGGGGGACGTTTTTTCTTTTTCTTTTTTTCCCTTCTTTAGCCCTATTTCATGGACCGAAAAATTAAAGCCCACATAAATGGGCGGCGTCCAGCTTCTACGATTTTAAGTTTTCATTTAACATAAGGATCCAACCTTAATTCTTTATAAGCCCATTCTTTGTGCACTCGAGACATGGCATCCATGTTCTTGTCTAATTCCAAACTTAGTTCGAAACAATCTGAATTGAATGTCCAATTGTGACATAAAATTCATGTTTTGCCTAATTTGAACCGATTCAAATTTCTATTTTAAAACTATACGAGGAATTTTCTACTTCTAATTGAAACTATCCGAACTTCTACTATAATTTGTTACTTAAATTTTTCCGTGCCCAAGTTTAGAAATTATTACAAATACTCATAATTTGTTTTGATAATTAAAAATAACAATCCATAATTTCTTTTGATAATTAAAAATAATGATAAAAAAAGAGTACTATAGATGTCCAATTTTAATTAATTATTTTTTTAAGTATCAAGAACAAATATACAACAATTGTGTTACACAAAAAAGTGAACGTAATTCAAAACGAGTGGCAAGTTCATGAGTTATTTTCATACTTAAATGTTTTAAAGGGTTTGATATAATGGTTCGGATATGAAAGTTGTTAAAAAGACATCTTCTTAACCATGCTTTATTTTTTCCTTCTTTTTTAACAATATATGCATCACATTATCAAGTATTACTACTCCACTTCTTAAAACTTATATTTACTATCTAATTACGTATTCTTTCCATATCATCCAATAAGTTGTTTTTTAACGTACTCTTCCTATAACCTATTCTTCCCATAATGAATATACTCTTTCCATAATAAACTTATTTTTCTATACAAAACGTGTTCTTTTAAAAACATTATCCAATTACGTGCTTATAATATCTAATGAACCGTTATTTAAACTGCCTTTCCCATAAGTCATCCTTCACAAAGTGGACATACTTTTTCCATAATAAGCACATTCTACCGTACAATACAAAACATATTCTCCTAAAATTGCTCTATTTGCTCTTAAAAAAACGCTACTATTTAATATAAATATGAGATTTTAGCAATTAAACAAGTGATCAGAAAAATATCAAAAATTACTCTCAAAACTTTCTCTAAACTCTTTCAAATGTTCTCTTTACTCAATTCTTTCTATCCATCGCATTCCATCACCCAAAACACTTAAATTTCAAAAACTACTCTAATCTTCCTTTTTGTCACCTCCAATAAATTTGGTTTTGCTTATTCAAAACGTACTCTCTTTACCAAAAAAAAGACCCTCTACAAATAGTATTTTGAATTTTGATTGATTACATATTGTACTCCAAAGTTAACTTAATAGTTACTAGCCCTCCAATGCAAAGGTCAAAATCCCCTCGCATATATACCAAAAAAGATAACATCCCAGATGGTGGGGAAATTTCTATATTTGACTATTTTTCTCGATTTTCCCTTTAAAGTAGAGTAGTTTATCAAAATGATTACACCGCACATGCAAGTCCATAACATTAACTCTGCAATTAGCTTCCTCACATGCGTCTTAGAAGTACATTTTTGCCCGAAAACTATGTTCTAGGAACAGCTGTGAAGAATATAATCATAAAGAGGTCTCCTATACACTGATACAAGCAAACAAGGAGGGCATCATAAACATTCTGCGGCGGGCAGCTAGTCTTGGCAAGCATGAAATTTGAACAGTTACATGAATGAAGCATACGATAGTGCAGCATCTGGATATTGTAATGCCTGCAAAAATTTAAGCAGCAACCTTAGCAGAACTTCATTACAAACCACCATTTTTTGCATCCCGGATATTGTTTCTTTCTGCATTAAGCATAGGTAATTTCAACAGCATCTATTTATAGTATTATGATTTTTTATATTTATGCACTATGTACATATTTGTGTATGATTTAGAATTGGGAAGAAACTTCACATCATAGAGGAGACAAATATAATGTTAGGCGTGATACTTTAGAGGGGTAAAATCTCTAAAGTTAGTGCTCTTCCCCTTTCCATAGCACAACCCACAACAAGAATTTGCCCCATCTCATTAGCAACTGCTAAAATGAGCACAGATATTATAGCAGCATCATATGCAGAAATGACTGCCAGATTATTAGCTTTACATGTGGGATCAAAAGTGAGTAGAAATGTGCATTAAATTGTCACAAACCAAATCCACAACTGACACAGGCAAAAATAGTCTGTGCATATTAAAGTTTTGAATCCACTCAAGTCATATGAGTGTAATTCCACAAGCAACTAGGATTTGCCATGGATTTGAACATCTTTGATTTATATATTGATCAGTTTGTAAACATACAATGTGAGCATCCATAAGCACATATGTGTTTAGAGAAAAAGATCAGGTGTAACAAATGAAAACCAAAAACAAAATTAAATTCATATACACATATACATAGCCTTTGCATATTTATATATACATAACTATGTCTATGTGCATTAATACCTAATAAAGGTTAAGGATATGTGAGGGGAAAAGCACTTACAGTGCAAAAGTCAGTGCTTCTTCAGGAATCCAAAAGAGATTTTAGTGTCATGCTTCAATACAGCCTACCAGTGCACTCTGAAGAACCACAATAGCAAAATTTCTTCTTTATGTTACCATTCTCATCACGAACCTGATCTATCATATAATTGTAATGGTACGTCAACTCCTGCAAGGGAGGAATATTCTCAGCAGCAAAGAGCATTATATGTGGGATTCTCCTGTCATCATGATCATAAAGGACATTTTGTGCATACAAATTAGGTGAACAACTATGGTTTATGAATCTTCCTATATTGCCATGCTGTGCTGCATCGATGGTAAAACCACTGTCTTGCACAACTTGGCAAACACTTGAATGCGCATCAGGCATTAGGGTTGAAAGACCATCCCACAGAGAACTTTCACTGTAGTTGTTGCCAATATCAAACAGATACTCATCATTCCCTGTTCTTTCTTCAGCTTCTCTATCTTCGAGGAGCTCGCCAGCATACTCACAGATGAAACTTCCGGAAGGGATAGAATTTAGGGATCTAACACCCCAGCCTCTGGATTCTGTTTTAAAGATTTCAAGCTGAAATTTTATGCCACGCTGGCTCACTCTATTATAGCAAGAAGCAGGACATTTGCAAGAAGGACCACATTCATAGACAAGGGGCTTTGCCTCAACAATGGCCCCATTATGGTTATATGGGATCTCTCCTCCATTCTTCATTGCACAGGAACATTTCCCAGATTCTGAACATCCATCAATACAATCACAACCTTTGAGAGGAATAGGGTGGCACCAGTCAGGATAGATCATGTGAGCTACATACACAAATGGTGGAGGTTTCTCACTATCTATGGTGTTTATAGCACAAATGGGGATTACCTCCTTCCTCTGTGAGATATCGTGTGCACAGAGCCCTTCCCGCACTTTAGATTTATTAGATTTCTTTACAACTTTCCAAGCAAGCTCTGGTTGACCAGGAATTCTGACCAGCTTAAATTTGTAGACCAGCTTACCATGTGGTCCTGATTCTTGCTTATACTTCTCCACCAAATAAAGGCCATCATAAACATATGTTTTACCTCTACCTTCTAAGAAATCAGAAGACCTTGTCTCACCGCGAATAACCCTCACTGGATTCCTAACAAATATGCTATTTGCCAAAGCAAGGTTTCCTCTTTCAAGTTTCTGGTCTTCTGGTTGCTTACCTTTCTGCATAACATTTCCTCCCTGACCCATGTAAGTCAAGCCATCTGAGTTATCCAAGTCATTCTCATAGCCCCCTGATGCTATAACACTAATAGCAATGGTCCTATCGCCTTGCTTTACATAATCTATACCACCCTGACTTAGGCGATGAAGGCCAACAATATTGAGCTCCACAAAATAATGAAACTCATCACCAACTTCAACACCTGGTACAGGTCCAATGATCTGTTTGCCTGTGTTAATGTATTTCCCTTTCTCTTTGAGAATCTTTGCAGCTTGGATATCCACCCTCTTAAAGGTCTTTCCTTCTCCATTCAACTTCGATTCTTCTTCCTGTAAGAGCTTCCGACAAATGGCTTGGAATAGGCGTAATGTCTCTCTCACTTTGTTCCGAGTATTAATTGCATCATTATCATGACCCACACTACTTGGACAAGAAGGAGGAAGACTCACATCATAACTGTATGATCTCAGACCAAAATTATCATTTGTGTAAGGCCTTGTGGGAGAAGAATTCTTCTTAATACATGTTTCTTCAGGGCTCTCTGCTTCATTCTTATTTGCTACTAAAGCATGGTTTGCCCTTGGTAGTAATATGAAATTGTTCTTTCTTTTTCTTTTAAATGAAACACCCTCCAGGTCAAGTTTGCAGGTCTCTTTCCCTTGTGGCAGTGGACAAGTTGATGAAGCCATGAGGCCTTGCACAATTGACCCATCCAATAAAACTTCTTGACTCCCACAGTCCTCCTCCAGCAATTGATCCTCAAAGGCAGGTGAATCAGAAAGCTTTGTCTCAAAACTCTTGTCCTCAGCATAAATTACAATATCACGCATTGGATTTTCCTCCAAACCTCTAATATATCCATTACTTGTCTCACTAACTTGCTTGGACTTGCTATTAAATTCATTTGGATAAGTTTCGCAAGGAGACTTGATGCTCTTTTCTCTCATATCTTCCTTGTCCTCATCCATATCGTTCCTGGATGAAGCTTCATAGGCACCTTGCTTCCTCATTTTTTCAGAAGCCAGCTCTTCAGGTTTAGATTGAATTTCTTCTGCAGAGAGTATAGGAGCACTACCTCCTATTTTACCTTCTAGAGCATTTACATCCTGAACATCCTCTATCACTTGTTTCACATCAGTACATATAGTCTCCTCTGAGGGCTTTTCCACATTTACAAACTTCTCTAGATTGAATTTGTTCTTTAAAGAGGTAAGCCATTTCGTGCGCTCCTCCTCACTAAGAGGTGGAGCATTTCTTCCACAAAATGGAGGGAAGTCTCTCACAGCAGTGACTCCTCTACGAGGACGATAATTTCTTGCTGAAGTCTTCTCCAAACTGCTCTCACCACGATGGGATTTCACACCACTTTGTGGAACCACCTCTTCTTTAAAAGTGGCAACATTCTCCTGAGGTAACTCCTTCTGCAAACCAGAAATTTTAAACCTCCTTTCACACTCAATTTTGTCTGCCCGATCAGACACCAATGCTGGGTTTTCTTTTTCAGAAAGGACCTGCCATTGTGCTTGCTCACTTGGTCTATTGATTGGTGCAGCCAACCTTCCACACCCTGGTGGAAAATCCCGAACAGCAGAAACTTTACGCTGCTTATACTTGGGTGCAGAAGCAAAGTGACCATTTTCAGTTGACACTCTTCCCAGCCTTCCCTCAGAATGACTACCACTTGCCACTTTTAATGTCTCTTTATGCAGCATGTTATCGGAAACCCCCATTTCAACTCATGTATTGCAAGTTGCACAAAAAGTAACCTAAAAAACCAAAATAAAATATTATTAGACTGCAATTAGCTCAAAGATTAAACAAAAATTAACCTAATTCTCTATTTCTAACCATGAATGAAAGTACAAACAGAAAGCAATTAAAACGAATCCCGTGGTCATGAGACTTTAGTTTCTAACATCAGCAAAAGACTATATCAACATTCAAATCAAGCCATGAAAAAACCTAAAACTATGCCCCAATATTGAAGAACAAGCCAATTGAAAACGAGGGGATTAAAAGAAAAGCAAATAGCATATTTCAAATGGATGAAAAAATAAAACTCCCTATTCAATCAAAAAGCAACAAAAAAAGAAGGAAAAATGAATCAGTGGATTAAAAAAATAATGCGATTCATATATCTAGTTTCTCGTAAACTCTAAAGCACCTAATGACAATAATCAAGTTTTATTTAAAATATATCTAATTTTTTGCTGAACTTTTCTTGGAAACCAAACAGGACTAGAAACTCAAACTCGATATCCATCAAAACGGGAAGAATAGATCAAAATTAAGAGGGGAAAGAGAAAAATGGCCGTGTTACCATGCAACAGAAATTGCTAAAATAAAGGCGGAAAAAGAAGTGATCAAAGAAATGTTAAGACCGTCCATTATGGATTTGAAGTGATCAAAAGCTAATTAAACAGACGAGATTTCAACAAGAATAAAAAGTTCACCCGAAAATCTTCGAGAAGAAGAACATGCACGAGATGGTGGAAGAGGAATGAAATGAGGAAAGAAAAGGACGGTTACTGATGAAGAATGAGCGCCATTAGAATGAAATCAACGGTGAAGATCGTCTAAAGTTTTCGATAGGAAGCTGAATCGTAAAATGGAGGATTTTTAGCTCGTAGTGGAGAAGGAAATGTGTGCGTTTTACCGTTTTGATTTGTCTCCTTCACGAGATCATTGCCGGAATGAAGAAATACTTGCTGCTTCGACTGCCGCAGTAGAAACGGCGTCGTTTTGCCAAATGACAGATGCTTAAATGAAGGGGTAAAATACACCTTTTTTCTTAGTTTTGCTAATAATTACACGAACTCATTATTATTCGAAATTGACAATATAAACAGTATTAATGGTAAATATAAAATATTTAAAATATTCATTGAATAAAAAAATAAATACAAATAATATGTCAATAACTAATTGAAAAATTTTATTAAACAACTTCAAATCTCATAACTCAAAAATGTCAAATTCTCACAACAAATTTTGAAATTCAAAACTTAAATCAAACATGAATTTATAATTTCTAAACCCATAAATAAATTGAAAAAATCAACTCAACAACTCAACTTTCATTTTCTCGTCCACCTTTTGACCTCACTTTAAATCACTTAGTAAAAATCAAACACAAATTCATAGTTTCTCTTCACAAGTCATTTATGAGTTGAAGTGCCAATAATCAACAACAAATCTAAAGCATTTCAACAATGTAATCAAGATTTTGTAAGAGTTTTAACTTCTAATAAGTTTAAAGATAAAAAAAAAACGAATCTATTAGAATTTGAAATGAGCGATCTATTTTTAAAAAATATTTTTATTAAACATATAAGTCACGACTGTTAATATTTTAATTAATTTGATAACATATTAATTTTTTAAAATAATTTTATATTTCATTAATTTTTTAAATTCTCATTACATAAAATATAATTTTTTAATTTTTACAATTTCTTTTTTGCCCAAGCATCCTCTTTCCTTCTCTCATTAAATTTTCTCCACCGTAGAAAGCAACGATGGCAAACAACATGACAAGCTTCGAGTGAACGTTTCTCAACCAAATCTGACCACGAGAACGTCAAATTATATGCTCCCTAACCAGATCCAATACAGGATCTATCACTTCCTTACCAGATTTGACCACGAGAACACTAGATTTAGCATCCCCACAACGTCGATGAGCACAAAATCACATTGGAAGGGTGCAATCTGGTGGTCTAGTGATTAGCTTGAAAAAGCATCGATAACCTCTTGAGAGAAAGAAAAAGAATAGAAAATAGTAGACAAATAATAAAAGCATTTTAAACATTTTACATTTCCCTGTTAATGTCGTGTACACACTTGAGATGGATTGTCTATTTTAAATACTAATAGACCAATGTGAAATTATAATCAAAACTTAAGGATTATGGTATTTTACTCTTGATGGAAACACTAACAATTAACTAACACAAAACTTATAGAAATACTAACAATTAACTAATGATAAAATTTATGTGTTTAACAAAAAATAGTCTTTTGGGGCAAAATATCTATTTCGGATACAAATGGATCTGTGGAATTTTGAGCAAAATTGTTTTACTCAAATATAAACCCATTTCCATACACCTTTAAATTTTTAAGTTGATAAATGTTGAATAAAAAATATTTTTATTATCATTTAATTAAATTAGATGATGATATTTGTGTGAGTTTTATAACTCAACAGTTCAACTTAAGACGAGTTGTCATCAATTTTTTTTATTTACGTGTAATTGATCATCTGAGTGAATTTATTTTTCTTAAAAAGATCTTAGACTTTGAATTAGGTTCTTCATGAATAGATTTTAGTCGACGAAGCAAATTAGATTCAAGAGTTCATTTACGTACGAATAACGTATTAGCACACTCATAACATCTATTTGATTAATATTTAATTAATTATGTGTCTTTTAAACTTTATTAAATAAAATCTAGTTCAATATTTAATTTTATTTTCTTTATCCATTTTCTATTTTTATAATTTTTGAAATTCTTTCACTAAAAAATTCTCAAAAAGTGACCTCTTTTTAAAGTTCTTGAAATTTCATCATTAGAAAATCTCTATAAATTTATGTAATATTCTTGATTTTTAAATGACCCAAAAAATAAGAATAAAAACAAAAATAAAAAATTATAATCATAAAAAAAATAAAAAATCATTAAATTAAGAAAACACTTTAATCAAAATGTTGAAAAATACCAATTAAAGTAATTTCAATATAAAAAGAAATAAAAAGAAAACTCGCATAATTGACTTGAAAAACCAAAAAAACAAAAACTAGACTAAAGGGTTAAGATTATCCACATGGATTCTACAAACCCAGATACGAAGGGCAAGCCAAATTGATTAGATCCAACTCATAAATCTCTTTTTTAGCTAATGCAAAATGACATCCTATTGAAATTATTATATATCTCATTCTATTATTCTTTTTCTTTTTTTTCCTTTAATTGGAATATTTTTTTAGAAACTAAATCGATTCTATTCTGCTAAATACTTTTGTTAGGGTTTTTTTTTTTCTCATTTGCGGCACTGGTGCTTGGTATATTTATACTCAATGTGTTTTATTTTTTCTTGAATTGGTTTAATGAGTTTTGATTCACTCTAACTTAATTTCTTCTACATTTTTTTCAATTCATCTAAGATTAGGATGGATGTGAACTTATTCTTATCTTTTTCATGTTTATCTCTTGTGTTTATTTTTTTAAAATTTTAATTTTTTAATATTTTTAAAATTCAATAGACACCTAGACGAAATTCTTCGTTATTTTTTATTTTTTGAATTGTTTGAGAATAATTATGACTTTTCATATTTGTAAATAACTGTTGACTAATAATAATAAAAAAATCAAAAGGACCCACATGCATTTTGAAAAAAAAAAGTTAAAATATACTTTAAAAGTGTATTGAGAGATTTTTTGTATTTTACCCACATAACAAATGTCTCATTCGCAATTACTCTCTCACTATTTTTATACAAATATCGGTGCCAATCAAAGGCTGAGGGAGGGGGCCTAGTAAGGCCTCTCGTCCCTCTTCAAAAAGTTTCAAAATTTATAATTTTTTTCTTATTTTGTTTTAAGTAGTTGTAATTTTATTCTTTATTTTTAAAAATTTTATAGTTTCGCACTCTCAAATATTAAATATTTTATTTTTATTCTCTCAAACTTGAAATTCTGGCTTTATCTCTGGTGCCAATTATATGGTTTTATGTGTTTATACTTAATTTACCCATCATTTAAGGGATACCTCAATCTAATTTTGTTACTTACCATAAACTAATTAAATATAATTCTTCATTTTTTTTCTTAAGATATACTTTATATTCGTATTTTTATCATAATATTTATGTTTTGCATATTTAATATATGTTTAAATATATATGGACAAAATACATTTAGTAGACATCATTTGCTGATAATATATGTTAAATTGTATTGTTTTTATGAAAATTTTACGTTAAGATTTTAAGCATAAATCAGCTCAGTTATTTTCTAATTATACATTGTTTATTTTATTTTATTTATACATATTATTTTATTAAATAAATTTGTATAAATAGTAATAATACTAAATTTTCAAGCTATTGAGGCCGTGTATAGTTGCAAGCCCGGCTCAACATCTCATGCTCTTCAAGGTTGGGTCAGGCTTGGTCCGTTTGGACAAAGGCTTTGTTCTAACATGAAATCAAATATTTACAAGTTTTCCGAAGATTTATAAACGAAGGTGATTCAGATAATTTAGGTATTAGAAGGCGATATGATACTTTGAAAAATAGATATGTATTTACCTTTAAAAATATTATTTTATATAATAATCTCGAATATTACATTTATAAATTTCTCTTAAATTACTAATATCAAACAAAATCTCTAGATTCAAAAAAAAAAGAAGACATATATCTTGTATTTAATAGATTTAAATGAATTTGGCATCATGAGCTAAGTAACATTAAATGTAGTTAAAGAAATTATTTAAAAGCTAAAATAAAATAGTAATAATAATAAGTTGTAGGTGTTTATATCATTTTGTTTTGATATAATATTTACAAAAATCATAGATTATTTGAATATTTATTTTTTATTACGTTCAATCAAAATCAATCTTATATTTTTATTTTGAACTAAATAGATTCTTATAACAAATTATTTACTAACTATTGTTAATTAAAATATCATTAATCAACGTAATATTAACTTAATATGTTAATAACGTGATATGTTCATATAGTACAATAACATTGTTATGTTATAAAATGATAAACAATATTTTTTCTAATGATAGTTAGTTAATAATAATTATAAATATTTATTTAATAAAAAAATATATATTTGATTGAATATAATAAATAAATAAAATTTTATTTAAAATTATTTTAAAGTACAATAACTTAAATTTTAATAAAACATGTCTTTTATCTTTAAAAAAATACTACTTACTCTTATCACATAATTTCTTTTTTTTAATGCTTTCCCAGATTATCATTTTTCTATTCATACAGTAAATGGGTCAAAATCTAAATTCAAAAGATAAATGATGTGTATAACTTGATTCGATTTTATTTAATTAGAAGAACAACTCATAGACAAATTAGTAATTAGATTTGTAATGAAATCAAATAGAAAACAAAATTTTTAGAGGAAAATTAGGAATTACTATAAGCTTAAGTATTATTTTTAAATTTTAATCCACTTTAAATATTTAAAAATGCTTGGAAAAGTAAAGGAGGTCGTCCATATCAACGGTCCTGATTTCCCGAAGCAAAAAAATACGAGGGGCGTCATCCGACCGTTAGTTTTCCACATCACCAAAAAAAAGGCGGGAAATCTCTTCAACAAATAAAAAATTGAAGAAATTCTTAAAAAAAAAAAGAGGAGAATGAAAAAACAAAAAAGGTTATATAAAAGGAATCTAAAATACAAGCTTCTGTTCAAGTTATATTTAGGCCGGTTTGTGAAAAAAGAAAAAGGAACCTCGGATGGAACCAGACGATCCTTTTGGTTGGATAACGGAGCTCTGCCAGGTGTCATCCTCTGAGGAGTCCCGCTTACGACGCTGTTCTTATTTTGGACAGTCGGATTCTGATGATTCCGACTCGGAGTGGCAAAATCCGCTCGACATCCTGATCGTTGCCGCCGGCATCACAATGGTGACTCCTCCGGAATCACAGCAAGACGAACCAGAAAATGACACAAATACCCTTCCCGAAGACCAGGAAATCTTCCACACGCCTCCCGAGTCCAGGGCCACCTCCATCTCCACCTCTGTCGATAACTGCAACGATGTTCGAATGATCGGCGATGGTCTTGATCACGACGGAGAAACCGTGGTCGTTGATGCTGATAGTGCGGACAGCAGGAGGGCCGTTGATTTGGGTAGGGATTCGGATCTAGGGTTTTCGGAAGTGGAAGTGGATTCGACACAGCGAATTGAAGCTAATTCGAAACCAGACGGCGCGTTTGGAAGGAAATCGGAAGAAATTAGGGTTTCAAGAAGAGGATTTTCCCCAACCGGACAATTATCAACTGAATCTCCATCGAAAAAGTTGAAAAGTTTGGATTTTGAATCGCCAAGTGTACGATTGGGGACTTCAAAGGGGGAAAACACAGACGATATTTTGAAATCGTTGGAGAAATGGAACTTCAAGACAGTTAGTCTGTCTCCGAGAGCTAGTTCAGAATTAGAGCGTGAAAATCAGCAAAATTATGAATCTAATGAAGTTGGTGAAGGAAGTGTTAGGAAAAGAAGGCTTGATTTGCCGACTGATGTTACTGAGGGTGAAGAAAGAATTATGAATAGTAAAAAAAACGATGGTGAAGGAAACGATGGGGAGACAAGGCTTGAATTTTCGACTGAGGATATCGACTTTCATCCTGAAAAAAGAAATGCGGGGAGCGAAAATGAGAATGGTGAAGGAAATTCTGGGAGAAATAATAAGAGCGTGGAGGATATCGATCAGTTTAGATTCACTGGTGGGAATGATTCGAATTCGCGTGAAATGAAGGAGAAAACTGATAAAAAAAGGGCATTGCCCTCATGGGCTAATGGGAGAGTGGGGGCTGATGAGAGTGTTGAAGATAATGAAAGGGAGCCGGTCCAGGCTGATACGGATTCGGAGACATTTAGTGAGGATGTTGAGGATTCAGAGAGTTTGAGTGAGGAGTTTGAAGAAATGACGCTTTTGAATATTTTGATGGAACTGGCAAAGGATTGTGAGGAGGATAGGAGTCTCGAATGTCTTAGTCTTTTGGAGGTTGCAGAGAGAAAAGGGATATAGTTTTTTGACCAAGTGGTAGGCCGCAGGAGAGGAGATCTAAAGAGAAGAGATAGCTGAAACTGAAAGAGTATTGGGTCTTCTTTTGGGCGCGTTTTGTCCCTTGGGTATGGATGGAGGGAAAAGGTCCAGAAGGAGATTGAATGAAGCTGTTTTTCTGCTACATACGCAGGTAAATTGGAATATGTGAACTTGTAAAACTGTAGGGTAGATTTTGTAGTTCAAGTCTATGCTCTATATGGAGGCTTTGCTTGTATACAAATACAAATGACTGTTACACCATGAAAATACTTTTGTTTGTGTAAAAAGATCTTTTAGTTTTTTATGCAAAACTTCGATTATGATTGTTTTCTTTGTGTAGCTCCTGTGTGCGCATGTGTGCATCCCCTGTCTCTCTGTGGGTGAGCTTCTCCACACGTGTTGATGCCTTCATTGGTTGGTCTATGGAAATGGACCATTAACGCAATATCTAGAAATTATTTGTTGTTTAAAGTCAAGCGTTGTGGATCAAAATTCAGTACCCGAGATGAAAACTGATTTGCGCTAAAATTTGTCAAATAAGGAAACAGGTGAAAGGTACTTCTTTTTCTCCTTTTATCCCATCAATTAAGGGATGTGTAGTACTAAAGGACTTACATTTGCATCAAAGCATAGTGTGCTGCACTCTATCGCTCTTTTTTCATTATAGCTCATATGTCATTTTAAAAGAATAGATGCCCACTTTAGTAGGTAATTCCGGATATGCAAAGCAAAATGTCAGCTGCCCTTAGCCAACAAAATAGCCCCATGGTCGGCCATTGCACATGTAGTAGTAGTAAAGTTTCTGGTGTATGTGCAGAGATGGATAAGTTACCCTTTCTGATTTTTGCCTCGCACATTCTTCTTTTATTGATTTCATGTCTATTGTCAAAGGATTTAAAAATTTCCAAACCATACTTTTAGTCGAATGCCCTTCCCACCTTCCACAAAGAAAGGAATGGTGGTCTGATCACAGGTTTGATCTGATTTGGGTGCGTTGTTAACTTGTTTTTGAAGTCATAAACAAAGAAAAATTGAGCTTGTTTTCCAAGGATGGGAAACAAGATTGAGTAGGGTTTTAAACTCAGGCCTTTAGTATCTTTATAACCAAACAAACAGGAAGTTGACATCCTGTGCTGCCAGATGGAAACGGTCCTGGTCTCAGACTTAGACCTTATTAGCGATGGCTTGTTGGCAATGTGACATGACTTTGAGAGTCTACGGCCATTATCGGGCACTAACTGTGATGTCAATATCATTGATTAGACATCGTTCTTAATTCTCCTTATCATAACTTATTTACGTAATTTTTCTGCCTAGCTAGAAATATCAAAGATTGCTAACGTATGATTCAACAAGCTTGCGTACACCACTTGGATAATTACTCATTCAGCTAATCAGTTTCATGTCATGCATTTTCAGTTGCTTCGTGGACGTCTTGTATTGCCTTGACTCATTTGAGCATAACCAATGCAACCACCTATGAGCAACAGTGCAATACTTTAAAAGGCCCCCATTGCTTTTGAACGCAGGGATTTTTCCCCGACCCAAAGAAGCATGAGTTAACCTCAAGAAAGGATGACCCGGGTTGTCAACTTCAAGCGCACTTGTTGGGGCAGTTCAAACAACTGTAAGTGTGGGTTTCTATTGATTTCCTAGAACGACCAGCCATGCACGCTACTCATCAAACGCAATTGTCTTAACGCAAACTAGTCGGAGGTTTGCCAACTTAAATTCTGCTTTCCATCACATATTCACATTCTAAATCAACCACCTCAAAGACACAATCCTTTATCCCTTTGGACCCTTTCCCCCACCTTTCTTATCCTAGGGTGATTGCTTGAAAGGACAAAGATCTTATCAACAACGCCCCTACAATCAAATGATATATGCAGATATCCAGTATAATTCAAAAGGCACCAATAAAGGCTAGATGGTGATTCCTTAGCATGCAGTAAAGCTATTTTCATATCCCTTTTATTCTATTTTTCTTTCCCCACCCAGCAAGATCAAAGGGGAATTAACCAAGGGGTATATAAAATTATGTTTCCATGCAAAAACTACATTTGCATACAAAACTCTGGAAATACCACCTCTTTCTGAATTTTTTGAGCTATATTATACAATCTGTTGTCAACCTATACAAAAACACCCAACCTAATTCATCCCTTAGCATTCCAAGTTTTAAAAGGTCAAGGGGAAAAAACAGCAACCATCAAACCTCATTCACAGACTTCGGTGTTTGGCATGCAAAATATGTCGACCCCACTCATGGGATCTTGCAGAAGGAGCAGACCTTTATAGTTATAGTAATTAACAACCATTGCTAGGGATGGACAAGATGTGGGTGTGCTGAGCTACTGCTAGTGCTTGCCTGTTGGCCAAAACCTAAAGTAGGATGCAGCAGTTCTGCCTGTGGGAATGAGCCGTTGGATGGCACATCCAGCAGCAAATCATGGTCAGAACTTTCGTCAACAAAGCGGAGAGAATCCAGGACGAGAGAGCTACCATCAGGAGGCAAAGCGAATAGGCTTCTCGGACTAAAGCAAGAACCATCATTGTCTATGAGTTCTTTGTTTTCATAAGTAGTCTTCATGATCACCCTTTTGGGGCTCTTTAAAGTCCTTGCTTCTGAAAAATGAAAAACATATTTTCTTGAGCTAAATGGCAGAGTAACTTGTAACAATAGCAATAGCATGATTAACACTAGACTTAAAGGTCAAATTTATTCAGTTTCAGAGAAACTTACTACATATGGCTTCATGTTATTAGCTTCCACCCAATTTCATTATTTATGGATTGATTTGTATAATTTTTCTGACTCTGGTTTTATTACTTTTTCTTGTCATAGAACCTGAGTTGGGTTATGTTCAATTTAAAATTCAATGAAGCTATCTAAACTTTAATATCGTCTAACATGATTTATTTCGTACAAAGTAATATCAGCAGAGAAAATTTTCAAACCTGGAAAATTTTGACTTTGGCTGTCACGTGATCTCTTCATAATTATCATATTATTTGATGTAATGGCATTTGGTCCTCTATCAATGGCAGATCCTCCAGTACCACTTCTACATTTCTGCAGCCAAAGAAGTGCTAATAAACTAAGATATCTACTAGGCAAACTAAGTTAATTGTCAACAAGTTCATGCTAAGGTATCCTGGTTTAAGAAACCAATTCAAACCTTAAGTACATTATGGCGTTCCACCCAGTGGGATTTTGTCAAATTGAACAATGCAAGTCTTTTCAAAGTCTTACAGTCTTCAGCTTTCACCCCTGGGACGGAGATATTAAAGACCCCTTCCTCAAGCAGTTGCTGAAAGTAACATAAGTTCTCTTTGAATTGAGGGCTATCAAACATGCTCTTGAGGCTGCAGGTGCAAGGATAACAATGAGTGATTCCAGGTCATGTTTCCAACTATAGGTCATCTCTTTAGATATATAAAGACCATTACAGGTTTTCAAAACCATTTCCCTTTTTCTTTCCTCTGTTATCTAATTTCCAGTATACGGGCATCAGATACTATTGAATAAAAGCAGGATTATTATCAGCCTATGCATTCACACAAAACATGAAGTAGAAAGATGTTATTTTCCCTTCTTGATAAAAGAGTTAAAAAGGTACCTGTCAGGGAGTTTGACAATGTCAAGTGGAGGTAGATACTTCACTAACAGCTGCTGGTCCTCATTTGTTATGTGCTTCACAAACTCCTCAAAGTTGAGAATATCCTGCACCACACAAAAATATAACCACATGATGGAGAGTGAACATACATGTAATGATGAGAATTGTTCATGGTAACTCAACATTTTGCTTAAGACAGAGGAACTATGTGAAAGATTTGTTAAACATCCAGAGTCCCTACAAATTACAGGTTCCTAGTGCTTGATTGAGATTTTTTTTACAGTATAGCACATTTAGAATTGAGTTCTAAAGATTTACCCCTATGAAAAACAAATAAAGAAGAAAGAAAGAAGAGGACTTACATTTAAATCTATGTTACACAGTGGTGACTTATGACTTTCCAGGATTAATGATTTTTCATGTTGAACTTTGTCCCTGCCAAATTTCAAAAGGAAAAAAATTATTAATCAACATGAAAGCACCATCTCCAATTTCTCCTCACATTCCGCAGCAGCTATAAGCTTATCTTATGACCCAGCACTCAGAATGACACTCGATACTCAAACATCTTTCTCAAATCCTGCAGTGCCAAAGACATTCCTACTTGGAGCTTTTGAGATAAATTCCATGCCTCACATTGTTGTAGGAAGTGTAACTTCTCTACTCCCACAAATATATTTATCTTAACCCTTCTGAGTGGGCATGGTAAAATTTCAAAATATCAGAGTTAATGAACCACATGGTCCACGCCTATGCTTGTTTCATATTGTAGTGAAAAGTTTTACCTCTTGATTTGCTCGTGCTGCATCCCTTGTCCAGCAGGGTTCTTAGCCTTCTCAAATCCATGTCCTGAAAATTTGATGCCCTCACTATCATTATATGTAGGGAAGCTTGAAGAATGTGAATAAGCCTCGTTCATTGAATATTGTTTGTTTTCAACTGAAAGTGAGCTAGCTTCCGATTCCTCTTCACGAGCTATTGAGCTTGGATGTCTAATTAGAACACTTCCATGTCCAATCTCAACAGAAACCATGGGTGTTTCACTCTCAAGAAGCAAATCCTCCTCTGAAGATCCAGAGAAGTATGAAGACTGTTCATGTAAAATAGTATATAAATCTTTTGTAAGCTTCTCAACAGGAGATGGCTTTGGACGATTTACACAGGTTCTTTTCTTAGAAGGTACCATTGAGTCCCACACGTTTGATTGAGCAGGCCCTACAGAAATATAAAAAAGAAGACAAGTTAAAATCAGCATTTCAGACCATTTAAAAGTATAAACATGCAGCTAGAATGAAGCCATTGGCATTAGTCAAGATCAAGTTGACAAAGGAGATAAAATCTGAGTATGCAGATTAAACCATCAAGATGAACCACTGAAGGAGAAGATTCAATATAATAGCAAGAGGTATAATCTGAAAAACATTGTCAAACACATTGTCTCCACTCTCCACTTATAACCACAGTTCAGTATAGCGATCTCAAAGATATGAAAACCTTTTCACTTCAGTTGTTCACTGGGAAAAACATTAGGAAACTGTGTGCATCAGAGAATAATGATCATATTTTGGGGCAGATATACAACCATTTCCCTGAATCATTTTGGATTACACCAAGGATCGAACTCATGAATCTCCAATGAATTTGCAAGATGGACTGAGATGTTCCATTGAATTTAATATATGGTCCACTAGGTCTCTTTTCTTTCGTGACAAAAAAAAAATGCAATTTACTCTTGTACGGTCAAAAGGGCAATGAGGAACACTGATGGCATTGTGTCCAACCTGTCAAGTCACTAGCATCTCCACTGCCAAATTGAGCACAGCTTTCAGAATTAGATATGGCTGATCCGGAACTTGATCTATTACTTGTATCTTCATCCACAAACTTACGGATACCCTGGTTGTAATCGGGGGCAACTACTGCTGTATCATGATTTGGCTTTCTTTTCAGCGGTTTTATTTCTTTATTCTTATTTATAGATATGCTCTTCACTCTGGAAGCCCTATGATCCTCATAATCATCAGGTTCAACCCGAGCATGAAGTGGAGTATAGTTCGCAAGTGTCCCCTTAGTCCTCCACCGTGAACCGCATGCATTGCACAATACTGGCTTCTCAGGAGGTCCATTGCGCCAAAGAGGAGTGCCTATCACAATACATTGTTCTTAGTAAGTATACATTGATTTTGGACAAAGAGATATCATCATTCTGATATACTTATGGTACACTAAAATAAGTTTTTTTTATCAAACAAGCTGAAATAAGTTGAGTTGCAGTAATTGGTACAAACACACTAAGTTCTAAGATTATAAACACTTCAAATGTTTGAAAAATGCTGCAATGAGTTTAACACTCAGGAGTCATTCAGAGAGTTTGAGAGCAAATGACACTGATGTGGTTGAACTGTTTCAAGGCTTAAGAGGCAAAACAATGAACTTCAAAATAAAATAGAATGTTCTCCAGAACAGAAAAAGAACAAAACATGGTTTAAAACGAATTCAAGTGCAGTTCCTGAAAAGTGGTTCACAATAGAATTCCAATCCAGTGGAGGTCGACAAGTCTTATCAACAAAGACCAAAACACCGTTTCAAACAAACATGAGAGTATTTGTTCATTGGCATTGAATTTTAAACAAGAGCTTATTCAAAAGGAGAAAAATGAGCAGAAACTCAGTGGCAAGTGTACAAATGGAGGAGTTAAAAACAATGGCGTTGCAAGAAAATAAAGCCCTTTCAATTGAATCAAAGAGGACTGAGGTTTGACTAGATATCGAGGTTATAAACATCTATGGGAATGGGAAAGCAATACCAATTTAATGTTGAATCTGAAACTGCCCAGAATTCAACAACATAGACTCTGCAATTCCCCATTATCCAATAGAATTCAACCTCACTTCCCTTTTGTGAGATATGTTAGAACTTTGAACAAGAGTCAAAGACCAACCCCAAGAGATATAAGACTGAGAAAATGAATGAGGTTGAAAGAAACAATTGAATTCAAAAACAAACTTCAAGTTCAAAGCTTTACATGGATTGAGAAAAAGGACACCTGTTGTTCCAAATCCATATACAAACAGAATAACACAAAGAACAGCATATATTCTAAATTTATTATCTTTGTCCATGTAATCTGTTCCTTTTCAACACACAGTTATTCCCCTTCCAAATTCCAATGATAAAATTATTTATCCAAGCATATGAGATCATACAACAAAAATACTGATTTATAGAAAAAGGTTCAACATTTACACATATCCAAGAACTCAAAATTCCTTTTGTTTCTTTTTCTTTAGCTTCATATTCAAAAAGTTAACTGGAGAAACAAGAACTCACTTGTAACTCCACAGTGATAGCAAGGCCCTTGCTTGCCCATGTCTTTCTCTTTTGCTCAAGTGAAGAGAAATAAAATTAAAAAGGAAAATTTTTGAAAAGACCAAAGAGGAAAAAAAAAAAAGAAAAACCAGAAAAAATTTATTATTGACAAAAACTTTGACTAAAAACTGAAAAGTTTTTTGTGTATAAATTTGATTGGTTTCTTCAAGCTTTATATGACATATTCAACCGGGTATTAAAGGCTTTTTCTGCAACAACCCAGAAAGCTAGTTTTAGTTTGCAGAACAAAGCAAAATACAACCCAGAAGAGTTCCTATGTCTTGTTTATCAGTACAAGAAACATAAATTAAAAAAGGCAATAAAAATTAAGCCCACCCAAAAAAATCAGGAAGAAATGGAAGATTTTAGAGATGGGTATTTCAGCTTGGAATCTGTACAATCCAATGGAGAGAACAAAAGGTAGAGACTATTTGAGAGGAATCTAATAAATGGCTGTGAAAAGAGGAAGGTGAAATGGGAAGAAAGAGAAAGAAAAGAAAGAGAAAGAAAGAGAGATGGTAGTGTGTTTTGTGTTTTGTGTATATATGACCCCTTCCCTTTGTATTTTATATCAAGTAAAAATAGTTCAGCTTTCTTTATATTTCTCTTTTCTATTCCTCTTTAATTAACTTCTTCCCACAATTTCATGTCAAAACATTAAAAAAGTATAGTTAAAAAATTAAAAAAAATATATATTCAAAGAGGGGTTAGGGAATATTACTGCATTTGTTCTGTTGACTACAGACTTTTCAGCTTTCTTTTATGTCGATAAAATTCCCAGAAGAAATAGAATTTTGCAAACTAAATTATTGTTAAATAAAAAAATAAAGGAGAAAGAAACAAAGAGAGTTCGTTTGGCTTCTTTCCTTTTTTTCTTTTTTTTTAAAAATATTTTTGGGTAATAATTTAAATTTATTTATTTTTTTATTTATATTCTTGTTTGTGTATGTGATACATGATGTCGATAATATAATTTTTTTTAGTGGGTCTTTTCTTAAAAGAGTGTGAACCTAATCTCCACCGTCGCGCGTGATGATCACTGTCACAGCCCATTTCTACACCGTCAGATTTAATTAAAGGCATCGTCAAATTGGGTCCCACTCGATGAAATTATTATTATTTTTACTATTTTATTTTGCTTTCGCTTTGTGATTTAGTTAGATCTAAGGGATGATTCAAGGGTGGCGGAGGGGCTGTGACTCTTTTGTATAAAGCAAAAGTCCAAATACAAACTCCGTGAAAAAATAAAATAAATTTGAAAACAAAGGCAGCCAGGGGAAATCTAGCCACTAGATCAAAAGGATTATGACACAGCCAATTGATACGAAATCATGTTCCAAATCCGACGGCTGAAGATTATCAATCCTTCTAGACTTAGCTCATCGGATGGGTCCATTTTGCCCAAAAAAGTCATGCCCAATGTCCAGGTACCATGACTTTCATTTACTACATATTTTATTCATTTTATTCTTGTATTTTTGTTTATTTATACGTGCAACGTAGTACGCGTCATAATCATGTGCTAAGTGTACATGACAAATCTTTACCATTGATTCAGTCACCTAATCTATCAGATGGGTCCAATCACAGAATTCTTTTTGAATCAAATATTTGTAATTAATTTATCAATAAAAATATATTTACTTGCAAAATTGCTCGTAATTATGCCATATTTTGACATTCAGCCCACCAGTGCACAAAGGTTTAACTAAGAGAATAAAAGGGATAAAGCAAGGTTAAATATTTCCTTGTATAAAAATTAAAAAAAGAGGAGAAAATAAAATAATTGGAAAAAAATGTTTTCATTGGTGGGTCCCAACAAGAACTCATAACTGCTGGTCCTTGATCCACCGGTTCTTCTCCTTCGCTCCTTTTATTATACTAGCTTACTTCATAGACGCCCCTTTAGGCAAATATAATGTGTAAACCACTCATACCATGACATTTATTTCTAGTATTATTAATTTATGTATAAAATTTTAGAACGGAATTTTTCTGTTTTATAATAATATTTAAATTTTCTTTATTTTAATTTGAATATATATATATTGCATAAAATCAACTTTGATTATTAATAGTATGACCAATTAATGCATTTTGTGGGTCCAAATCCTTGATATAAAATGACCTGCCGCGTGTAAAAATGTAGTACTAGGGTGCATGATTGAAGCCACGAGCTGAAACACAGGAAGGAACCAATCCTTAATTTTAAAAGAAAGAAAAAAGAAAAAGAAAAGCAAAAACAGAAGCCGTCTTGGAGAGGGCAGGAAGACCTAATCTCCGGTGTAACCAATGAACTAATTTCTCTTGTTGGTTTTTAATAGAAATAGATATCCCAAGGCAAAAGCATGTTTAAATTTACAGATTGGCCACCTTATTGGGATTTTTCTTATGTATTTTTTTATTTATTTATTTTTTCTGAAATTCCCATATAATCCCTTCACCAACTGCTCCACTGTTTTCAGTGCTAATATTATGGTGGAACATCAAAAAAGTGTTAAAATGTGGTGTTTATGGTGTTGTCATTAGCACTAGAAAAGTCAGTTTAATCATATAAATCCCTTTCCAATACTATCCTTAATAGGATTTTATGTTCACATTATCCCTTAATCAGGATTGAAGATACACGATTTAATTTCCAAGTAGGGTGCTTAAGAGCTTTTTGTCACTAACAATTTAAAATCGAATTAACGGTTTTTATCCATCTTTAAACTAATTAAAGTTTAAGTTTCTAATTCTCACACTTTTCTAAACTTCCTTGTATAAACAAAAATTCACAAGCCATATTCTTATGAATAATTATATGATATAGTTAATTTTAAGGTTTATTTATTACTCGTTATGATTATTAATTGATTCGTTCGAAAGCGAATTATATTATGTATTTTTTACCATAAAATTGTTTTTATCATGTTGGGGTTGAGCTTTTGTAATTAAAAACAATCTTACATCAATTAAACTCGGGTTACGTCGATAATTCATATATTTAAACAAAATTAATTATTATGTGAGAAAGTCATTGAGAGAAAAATAAACGTTTGAATAATAAGACCAAAAAAGGGGACATGGGGAGAGAGAGGCCAGTTGGTGGGATCTCTAAATGTGCTGATTTTTTTAGCTAAATTATTGTGAGAAACAGGTCTAATACATCAGGTGGTTTGATGTACCTAGCAATATACTATATGGGTTTTGGCCTCATATCACATCCCTCACTTTCCTCTTCTTTGTTTTATGTTTTTTCCCAATAAGATCTTAGTGTCTTTATACTAAATGAGAAAAAATGGCCTAGATTTGTGGGTAATGGAACATGGGGATTGTCCCCAATTTTCGTACTATTATATTCCTAATATAATATTTATATTATTAATTATGGTGATGGGGAAGGAATTCTGCAATATGATAACCACTATTTGTTTTTTTTTTTTTACAGATAAATAAGTACAATTGGATATAAATTGCTAACAAAAACATAATGTTATTTTGACTAATTGCTTGCTTTTAATTAAAGTTTTTAACATTTCGACTTTGTAAAATATATGTACAATGCTTGTTTTTGCAATATCTATCGCTCTAAATGTTGCAAGTTGCAACCACCTAGCTGCTAATGCCAGGCTCATGCTATACCATATTTTAGGGATGGACCAATTTTATTAAAGTTTTTAGTTTTATTTTCCATGTAAAATTAGGAAATTAAATCAAGAAAAATTGAAATAATTCTCCAATTTCACTAAATAAAATAAATAATAATTCACATTTATTTAATTTTAATCATAGTAATGAATCCATCTTTTCAAACTCTTGATAGGTTTTATGTGGAATTCATGCACAAACTTTATCAGAAGCAATAGACTGAAGAGCATTGAATTTCAATTCAACATTTCCTCTGCCCCTATCCCTAGCCATTAATTGCCCCCAAGAAAAATTTGTGAATACCCAGGATCCCTAACCTGGAATATTATTATGTGGGGATACAAAGAAATCTATATACTAAACTTTTAAAGAGTTCACTGTAATTGTCCACTTAGGTAGTTCGGTCTTAGTTTATTTAAAAAAAATTAAATTAAATGTAGTTTATTAGGTTATAGAGCAATTCAAGTTGACTCATAAGAATTGATTTAATTTTTTAATTCACCTTATCATCTTTCAAACATACTTTTAATTTGTTTTTCTTTCAAAAGTAATTAGCATAATTGAATACTTATCTTAGTCTAACTTATTATTTTTGTGCACATATGAAGAAGTCTACTAGAAGAAGAGATTTAAATATTAAAGTGGTTTATCTCACAATTAACAAAAATGCCGTCAAAATTTCTAACTCCTTTTTTTTTTTTTGGGTAAAGGGGAAATCCATTTAATTAAAGCAAATTACATAAGGGTAGGTCAAGATATTCCTAATACATCAACTAATAATAAAGAGAACACATTTGGTGAAGGGGCTTCAAAAACACATAGGCCTAAAGACAGATTTGATGGTTGGTTGCCATCCAATCCGTGTAACTATTGGCTTTACGCAGCACGTAAGTGAGTAAGCAAGACCAGTCTCACTGAAGAAGATTTTGTATTTTCTTCACAATGTTTGCATTTGTCTCCAACGGAGATCCTGTCTGAGTTACCCTCTGAATAGCATGTTTGGAGTCTGTTTCTACCAATAGAGCCTCTTTCCTCACATAGTCCAAGACCCTTTAAGTTTGCCCAAAGTTCTACTTCAAGGGCAAACACTAGCTAAACGATTCAAATCTTCAGGATCAGTTGAAAGCATAGACGACAGATCCTTCTCCACACACAATTGGACTCAAAAATCGAGTGTCGACATAGTGGAGAGAGATGGAATTTAATACTCCAAATAGTGGACTCGGAAAATTTAAAGTTTTTCAAGATCTGGTTCAATCTTGTGTGCACGCAAGCTTACTTTGTTTTTCTTACTTGCAACAAGTTTACAGTGAGTTTTCATATATAAGACATTTTCTTTTCAAGTATCTTGGTAATGTGAGATGTTTAAATTTTATGAAATATACTATTTTTCAACAATCCCTCACATATTTCGTAAGGTTTTATAAAAAATTTTACTGGGTCAAATTTTGTTTAAGTGTAATGAATCGGTGCTTTTTAAGCTATGAACCACCCTTAGAAATAATGAAACATAAGTCACAGAATTTTGTTGAAATTTATAACTTATATGAATCAAAATTTTTTATGTGGAATATAGTTTTTATCAATCACATTACAACGTGGTTTTGTACAAATAAACCATGCGCTTGCCTGATTATTCATAAGTGCTGTAGAGAATTTGTCACAATTCTCATAGAAGCGGCCCTCATAGGAGCGGCCCCATTCCACACTTATATAGATTGATTCCATCAAGTGTATACTGCAATATAATGCACTACCCATAAAAGATATGAAATGCATTAAGAGTTTAACTCTGAAAATAATCGTATTTGTTGTTGAAGCGAAAATAACAAAATTCATTATCAAGATCAACCGCCTAGAAATCACCTACTAAAGCCCACATTTGTTTAACCCTAT